AGAGTTTGCTTTCAAATGTACGAAGGGTTTCACCGTTACAGAATTCGAAAAACTTTTTACACAAAGGAAATCAGGCCGCAGAAGAAAGGATGACATTATTCTTCCCAGACCTGAAACAAACTTTATCAGGAACTCCATAAGTTATAGAGGAGCAATTGCATGGAATAGTTTAATGAACAAGGAAACAACGGCTAAAACCTTGAAAGATTTTAAACGCTGTCTTCGGAAATTTGACACAGATAAAATAAATTTTGAACCTATTTTAGCCATAACTAAAAACAGAGATACCGACTACAAATATTTCTGATAGGTCTTAGCTTTTAAGTCTTAATTCTAAATTGTACATATGTTTAAGTATTTTATTTTTTTTTGTAACTATTGTTTGCACGACCCCACCAGCAATGCTGATTTTACTTATCGTGCTAAAATAAAGTTATCACTCACTCAATCGCATCTGTTAAAGACAAAGCATGCCTGAGAGTCTGTTGTTTTCAAACCTCAACATATGTGAGATTAAACTTTTCAAACAGGTAGCAATGACATGTCCAGTTGAAATGATAAGGAATTCAGAAAAATATTACTGTTGGTAAACCCTCAAAGCCATCCCTAACAAGTGTAACCTGTAAAAACAGAATCTTACTCTGTCCTCTCCCCCAGTAGGGGATGCAGCACTTCCACTCCTCACAGAGGGTGGAACCATCTCTGGCTGCAAGGTCTGAGGTGGATCCACACCCATAACCTTCTGATGTATAAGATACATGGCTAGGGCAAACTGCTCAGAGTTCAGGCGTCCTTGGCCTGTTAAGTCACACAGTCCCCTTGAAGAAAAGTAAAACAACATTAGGCGGGTTTGTGTTGAGTTATATGTGGTGTGAGTGCACATTCCCTGCAAAGAGATTAAAATAGGTTCAAGATGCTACTAAGTTAGCTCATGACTTGGCTGAAAAAAAAAAATTAACAACTAGGATCCTCAGTACTACATGTCAGTCAGTCAGTAAAAATATTAAATAAGATGATTATCTAGTGGATGGTATGCAACATGTAGAAGTATTTCTAACCATATGTGAGCAAGAACTTGTTGCGGCAATCCAGATGCCATAAAGATACTCTTTACTTCTTCTCCTACAAAATGAAAAATAACAGTCTGAATAGGTTAGCTATACAATTTGTAAGATTCAAATTTACAACTCTACGGTATACAAAAATAATCCATTTCCAACTACGAGTGAGTCTTGTATTAATTGCTGTATCCAAGATGTGCAAGTTCACGCATTTTCAAATTGGTAAAAAGGATAAAAAATGCAAAAGTGTATGCCTTGAACAGCAATATTGCTGGACTGCCAAAGTTAATAAGAAACATCATGGAATATAGTAATACCAGAAACAAGTCCATCAGCATCCTTATCAGCTTGTTTGAACATGGCATCATAACGCAACTTGTCAGCACTTGTTACCACCCATGCGGTTTCCTGAGTAGTCTGAGAAAGCAAACAATAATTTGTTTTGGCTGTGTACTTCTAATTACAAATGTTTGACCTTGCAAAATGCACTAAAAAACTAAATTGTCATCTGGCAGGAGAAAACAAAATGAATACTCTTTTTAAGGATAATTTGAGTTATAACCCACCATTAATTTTGGCGCAATTTTACTGGTTACTTTACGTCACGTGGTGCAAAATCACAGGACAGTTATCACGCAATAACCCCCATCCGCGTTGATATTTGTCCTCTGATTTTTTCAGTGAAAAAGAAACATAGTCAACGCAAGAGTTTCAACTTTTCCATTCTCCTATTTACAAGGAAGGAAACCAAATTAACTRGTTTTTATTTTTGCTTGCTTGCATCAATCACGCACATTCGCCATCAGATCACCACTGGCTTTTTTACTATGTTTACGCGCAGTTTAATTGCGATGTGAAAATTAATGGGAGGATCATAAAATAAATAGACCCTGTTCTGGCTTGCTGGTATGTCCGCTGATAATGTCCTTGGCTGAGAGATTGTCCTCAAAATTTCATATTTGCCCTCAAAGCTTCACTTCTTGGCCAAATATTCATTTTTCAGACAATCTCTCAGCCACAAATATTATCAGCCGACATACCAGCCACCTGAAGGGGTTTATTTACTAAATAACCAAGTTCACATGCATTCCACATGTTGTTTTACTTAAACATTTATCAAATTCTGTTTTCTGGCTGTTTTGAAAGTTTAAATCCTTGTTTTTGATGTGCTACACAGCAACCTTGTCCTACTTGTACAGCAAAAACATTGATTTCTTTAAAAAATGATTTCCCCACTACAGAGGAAATGGTTTTCAGCCATCCACCGATTGAGAAATTTAAGTCTGGTTCTTGCTTTTTCTGGGATAATTAAGCAGTTGACACCTACCACTTTCCTTGTGGAATTTCAAGTGACCAATCCTTTGAGGGGGAGGGATAGCATGGATATTATCTGAACTCAAAAGTTGAATAACAATTCACTGATTCAGAATAAAACTCACTGTGGTTGTGGAGAGAACAGAACTGCTGACTGAAGGTGGAGTAAGCCCCTTTGGAGATGGCGAGGAAGGAGCTGATGAAGACAATTTTAATTTCCTTTTTGACGGCGGTATAAGCTTGCCATGAAGTGTGAGGGGGACAGGATCTCCCTCTAATGCACGATACACAAGATGCATTGCCTAAAATAAAATAATATACAGTGTATCTTCACAAGAGCTCAGTTGCCTCCTATTATACTCTCACAATGTCGGAAACAGTGACAGAAACAAATTAAAGAAGTGCAAGTGACTATTGAAACAAACTTGGTTTGAACCTTATCTTAATTGAAGCTAGTGTTAAATGTGATGTTTAATCTTCATAAATAACAAACCATATTTTTCTCACCACTGCAAATTCATCACCGTCTAACATTCCATCTTTGTCAATATCAGCAAGCTCCCATACACGACCAAGTACATCAATAGGAAGCTTTGAGTTTAAAAGAACCTGAAAAAAAGTTCAGTGTTATAAACAAAAGTATCATTTTACAGTGTAAAGAAATTTTAATAGAGACCATCAGCAGCAGATATACCATAAACATCAAAGGTTATAGCTACTGGGTGATGTTACATCTAACTACAAGATGGAAAAAACTTAATTCAAGTGATTAAACCAATAATTTTAAAGTTTTCCTGTAAAATATATATAAAGGTATATATTTAAATCACTTTCAAAAAAATTGTTGGGCTTCTTATAAACAAGGCTGCACAGAAAATTTCATTAAACTCATAACTTACAGGTCTCACTTTTTCTCCTGGAAGAAGACCATTGACTGGTTGCAGTCCCTTAAAAGAAAAAAAAAGTTTTTTCAAATTAATAAATGTGGACATCTGTTGTCATATTAAATTAATATAAATAAGAACCACTTGCTTCATAAAACATATATTTTACTGCTACTTTAATGGTCTTTATCGAGGAAACTTTTTATACAAAAAATTATAAGAAAAAAAAATAAAACAAAAAATTATTAGGTTAGTTTGACTTACCTCAAATATGTTGTCATATTTTGCTTTTTCTGCTGGTTTTACAGCCCAAAGCGTACTTTCCTGTGGAGGAGGTACTGCTGAGAGGATCACATCACCCTGAAAAAAATGGTATTTCCAAAGAAAAGGACTTAAGTTATTGGTCAGAATAATTAACATTCTCTGGGCTTTTTCATACCTAAGGCTGATCAGCTCCTTATTTCTCCTTACAATTTAAAAAAAATGTAAAGTGGAGAAATAGCAAGAAGAAACAACATAAACTAGACGATGAAAATTAAAGGGAAGAGGCAACAATCAGTAGAGAGAAATAATATTAACTAAAAGCAAAAATTACCTGCAACATGTACAAAACCATGGCATGGTATTTATTTACACCAACTACATTGAATTCTGAAAATACAGTACTGCCTAGTCGAAGTCTAAGAGTGTAAAATTAAATATAATCTTTAAGCTTAAATCTATGAAAGAAGGTAAACAGAAAAATTTGAAAATTCCCAAATAGATTAACGAAAATGCACCAACATAATTTGAGAAGCACAATGTACTTACTACTTTGGGTGCTGGGACTAGCAACATCAGATTTGACAATGAGACATCTTTACCATTTTGTGCTAGGGCAATCAATCTCAGAGCCAAGAAAAATCTCTGAAAAATTAATTGTAGGCAGTTCTATTAGGAATAAGAAAAGCTTTGAAAGTATGATAAGATTGATGAAGAAGAAGAGAAAAAAAATACCACATTTTTATAGCAGTTCCAGGGCTCCACACTAACTTTTCAACTTACCAGTAAAGTAGCTAGTGACAACTTGGATGATGACAATTTCAGTTTGTTTACTAGCAAAACTGGCTAGTGGAAATTGAAAACCACTAGCTAAAACTGAATTTCTACTAGTCTGTGGCTAGTTGGCTACCATTAATGTCAAGCCCTGAGTTCTACATATAGTTACATGTTTATCAAGAAATCCAGTCCCTTGTGGATCAGAGAGCTCCCAAATCTGTTAAAAATAGATGGAGGTAGTTAATTTTGAATATCTTCTCAAACGTACGTAACTCTTACTATGCCCTGAGGCATCTTTCACAACTCATCTTTGATATATTACTTAAAACACTGTTTATGGCATTTACAACTACAGTAACTATAGCTAGTGGAATACTTCCCAAAGTCCAATCCCTAATCCATGTCAAGGGAGGCGGTAAGTTCTTGCTCTACTACATATAACAAAAATTCAGATTTAAAGATCACTCTTGAATTTTAAAAACCTGTTATGCTTACCTTGTGAAGAATTCCTTCTTTTAAACCAGACTTCTTGAGGAAGGCCGCAGCATCTGATGCTCCAATTTGACCAGTGTTAGACACATCCGCCTGTCAAAATAATTTACGACAAATCCAAAAATAATAATATATCAAGAGTAATTTTCAATTGGCAGTTCATCTTTCCCATCTAACTACAACTTGCTACATAGACTGGTGCAAAGATGCAGATGGTTACATCAGTTCAGGAGAACACAGTCTTCACTATCAAAATTAATTATAAATTTATAAATAAATGTTAATTATTGAAATTTTTGTAAGGAAGAATAATTTTCCATTTTTATGGGCAATTATGTGATAGTTGCTTCATGACTTATTTCTCTTTAATATGCGTATGCTTACTTTTAAATAGTCTCATTACGTTTGGTCTTTGTAAAGGAAAAGTTATGCTGGGTCCTAGTGCAATGCTCTATGCAAGTGAATTGAGATTTTTTCACGGAGTTTTACTTCAGTGCACAAATCGATTATCCATAATTATTCCAAACCGTCAATACATGTATCGATCTTCCATCATAATCTAATCCATGCTGATCTACATTGTAACCCTAAAATGTACAGTAACAAATTATGTGGAGCCCGAATGTTTGACAAGAAATTAACTGCTGGCTCGCATTTCAACTAATGCCGGCTATCACATACGTAAGAAATAACTTATTGATAAGTTGCACTTTCGAATTAAGAGATGCCGATATTTTACAGACTTCATCAAGACATACCTGTCTGAAGAAATTCTCATAGACAGTCGCATGTCCTGCTGACAGCTGTGAACATAAAAGGCCATTATCAAAGAAGTTCAAAGAAAGTGCAAGATAAGAGTTCTCAAAAATTCAATCTATGTTTGCAGAGTTCAAGAAATGTCACGAAAGAAACACGATGGAAACATAAGGAAACTTAAAAAAAACTACAATCGTCGAATAAATTCCACTAAATATTGAAAGAAATTGTAATTTATACGCGGAATTTGCTTTGCAAATTTCACAATTAAATGGGCAATGCAACATCTTCGTCCCTTCCTTCTCGATTAATATTGTTGCGGACTAGCTCATCAGCAAGTGGCATTCGTTTGCTTTATAGCATTTAAACACGTTCTTCTCCAAAGAAAAGCATCTGAACCGTCCTAGCGCTTCTAAAATCAGCCAGGGGTGATGGACTAAATTTGTACAACGAGAAATCACCTAATAATTTTGCAAATAATTATAAGCTTACATGGGAGCAAGGAAAAGCTTGAAATTTGATAAGTAAAATAGCAGAAATCTCTCAAGATCGGAGTGGTATTATGCGATGATATATGAATATTCGACAAAAAATGTTTCAATCGACCATAATCTCAAACAATGCATTAAAAAAAGACAACACAAACCTGGGAAATGGATGGAACACCAACTGGGACTGCCATGTTTATGTCCGGAGATAGCGCAGGCTCATACTCAATCACAGCCCTAGCGGCTCTCTATAATATATATATGCGCATCAAGGCTACTGCGCAAGTATGTACCAGTTTCCTCGTCCAAGATGGCGATCGGATCGAAGATAGAACTGGGACGGGTAATTTTTCATACTTTTTGGGATTCTTTTAGCTTTTTAGGTAATCGCAGTGAAGTAAATTTAAAGAAAGAAGCGTCTGTCACAGTAACTACAAATTGGCTGAGAACTAATAGCGCGCTTTTCGATAAATTGTGTAACCAATGCCAAAGTAATATACTGGTTTTGCAGATTGTTCTTTATGTGTTTTTTCCCGTGGCAATATTCTTCTACTTTAATATGCCAGGATCATACGAAGACTTCATGGCGCAGAAGAAGGTTAGCAATATTCTTGTTACTCCATACCAGGGCTGTCATAGAACAAACACTTTGAGATGAAGGTCCAAGAATGATTGCAACTGTCCTTCTTTAACCAGTTCTCAGCATTAAGTCCAGCAGTTAATTATAATCAAGGGGTAGATCAGTGTACATAACATGTTTTAAATTTTTTACGGATCCTAATTTTTATTGTAATTTATTTTCACAGAAAGAACTTTACCCACCAGATGAAGAGTGCAATGTAAGACTTTGTTATATTTTGTAGACTAAGTACTAGTAAGTTTTTACAGGGTTCTGATTTAGATGTCTTTAACAGCAGGCTTGCTTGCATGATGGTTAAATGAGAGTTTACTTCTTGTTTTCGTATAGAAACCTCCAAACACAACTGAGGGCTTAGCAAAAGCTTGGGAAAAAATCTTAAAGGAAAAAAAAGAGAAGACACAAAAGTAAAACAATGAAGTGTCACTCAGAATGTCATCACAAGAAATGTGCAGACTACTCCAAAGATAAGCTTTCTTTTATTTAAAGATTAATTACTGTGTCACCTAACAAATGAATAACTGCCCTATACATAGTATTCATAAAGCAATTCTAAATGTAGCTTACAAAAGTGAAGCTTCTTTTTTTATGGAAAAAAATTATCAAATAGCACTCAGTGCTATCAAATGTTATATGTTGTTACATGTGTTCGCTTAATTGTTTCAATTTCATATGAGAATCTTGCTCTCAACCTAAGATAGCTCCTCCATTACTTCCTCCTCCTCCTTTTTGACTTTATCCAACATTAAGTGCTATTTTTGCTCTATACGTATTTGAGAATGACATATATATTTGCCAACAGAGACTTTCAGAATTATTGCTTTTTGTCATTTATTGTGAAGTTTAACCTTCTGTATAATAGTTGATATTTCAGACAAAAATAACTTTGTGCTACTATCAACCCAGGTGTTTAATTTTTCTTAACACCCATCTTTATAGAATTGAACTCAAATACTTGATCAATTGATATTGCTACTCTTGTTAATCACTGATTAATCATGTTGTAAAAAAATATTTTTCTATAGTTTCAGGGTGCTCATTAGGTATTGGATATGGGAGAATTCCCACCTTATGGCCTTAACTCTCTCCTGTAACTTTTAAACACTTTTTTCCTGCTTCAATCTATACTTCTTTATGCAAACCCTTTCAGTTTGTTGCCTTTAAGAAATATCTCCCTCTCATGGCCAATGTAAAGGTTTGCATGACTGAAACTAACAGTTCCAAAGGGAAATTCAACATAATATAACTTTCAAATGAGGGTTTTATTGAGCTTATAGAGCAACTGGAAACTGTGGAGTGGTTGGTATAAGTCTGTCAGGGGAATGCAAATTGAATTCACTGTTGTCCATTGAGCTCTTCAGGGTTTCACGATGCACGATGCCTGTTTTTGGTGTTTGATGACTTTCGTCAAACAGCCTTAGGACTCTTATGCCCTGTTCATGGAATAAAAAGACAAACAAAATGTTTGTAGACTGAAAGTGAAGCAAATTGATGTAAAGACTTGATTTCTTTAATTTTGATACTAAGCAATCCGAAGCTATTTCTAATGTGCTCATTTTTAAAGAAAATAAGATAACATCCTTCTGCCTAATCCTCTCTCCCCTCAAAAAAAAAAAACAAAACAAAACAAAAACACAACTTTTACTATGATATTTTAGCCATAGGGGTGAGACTGGGTAACTCAGGAGTCTGATGAGGGTTAGGTTATGAGCTGAGCATTTAGAGTAACACCCGAGTTAACACATTAGCAAGCAAGATAGGAGACTGTTTTCCACTTCTAGTCAACTCTTTACACCTTCACATCAGTTTTCATACTCTCCATACTGTTCTCTATACATTTCCTAAGGTACTGACAAGGAGAATTTGTTTAACAATCAAGAGCTTCTTTAATGTGTGACCATTTACTTTATTCTCATAGCCCTAATGTTTAATTCAGATGTGATGCTGTAAGGAGAATTTAGATACTAGTCTTTTTTAGGGGTCAGAAAGTTAACTTTACAACATAGAGAGATGCAGTCTGTAGCCAGACCTTTTCTTTGATCATCACTGAGAATATGAGCAAAATGATAGTTGTGTGGGAATTAACAATTTTTAGCACTCCAGGGTGGGGTGGGTAGATATGACTCACCATATAGACTGCAATAAATCCGCCTAATATGAACCCAGCAAAAACATCATGCCAGTGGTGCATGTGGTCTCTCACCCTAGAGAGACCAAACAGTAGTGCTACTATGAAGCAACCTGTTTGAATGAAAGGTTTAAGGAAAGAACCTCCATTCCTTATAAATGATTCAAAATAGACCTGCAAGAAAAAAGTACAGAGTGACGTTTATGTCTCACTTTCATAGTTGAGTTTAAAGATTTTGAGGAGTAAATCCTGACATTAGTATTAACCCTTTCACTCCCTAGATCTCATGAGTAATTCTCCTTACTGTCTGCCACAGAATTCTTATGATTTTAGTTAAGAGAATTTGGTTAAAGATCAACTTAAAATTTTCTGAATTCTCATTACTTGTCTGCTTAATATTGTATTGATATTGTAAGGAGAAATTCTGTCTTGGTCACTCCTAGTTAATGTGATGTGTGGTAACAATGTGCTCAGTTGAAAATTTGCTTTTAGTGTTTGAAATTGTTGTCATAAATTTTTTATCATAGTGTGATTTCGGCTGAAAAATGTGGCAGTCATTAATTTTTTGATTAACCATTACAAAGATATTAGGTTTTTACTGTAGAAGTCTGAACACTCTTGGGTCCCATCTCCTTGGTGGTAGTGGTGACATCATTAGCTTTCTCAGTTGATTCAAATATTTTTCATGATAAATACCATAGTTGCTTAGTGACTACAAACACAAAACTTGCTACTTACTATTAGGAAGAGCATGCCATACATAGAGAGAGATGCATGTGCTGAGGGAAATGATCTCCTAAAAGAAAATTTTATGTAGTTAATGATAAGTTGTGGACAATTATTAACTTTGCTTCTTTTATCAGGATATTGATCAAGTTTTTATGAAATATTTCTAAATTTGTTTCAACATACCGGTATCTTAATTTTAGTTTAGATATTTGTAATGCTATTTCTTACCTGGCTTTTTCAATTGCATCAAGGTTACTGCCAGTGCATTCATAGTTTGTAATGTATCCCTGGTTACAGTCAATCAGACTCATGTTTGGTTTACACACTGCCAAAAAATGGGGTCTTAATTCACCACTATATGTCTTCCCAAGCAGAGTGATCAGGAGATTAATTAGTGAGCCATATAAAAACACAGACATTGTTCCAAACAATCTGAAAAGAATTAGCAGAAACAAATCAGATGGAAGGGTCAGATGGCTATGATTAATTGTGACATCCTCTTATTGAGGATTCAATGATCTATTATTCTTAACAGATCATTGAAAACTAAAATAGAATTTTTGAATATGATTGGCTATAAGGGACTTAATTTCAGTATTAATAACAAAGTGTGTGCTTGACCCTCGAAATTGTACAGTACACATCATTTGGGTGCATTGTTAGATAGCTTTTAAGTTCATTTTGCAGTGGAATTGTTAGAAAGTGGTACATTAAGTTCATTTTCTTGTGGAAGAAAGTCAAGGCTGCTTTTTTTTGTGTCTGAATGCCCTTAACACTTAAAACTGTAACATTGGTGTTCATATTCTCCACACTGTTTTCTTTATATTTCCTGTGGTACTGGAAAAGAGAATTTTTTTGACAATCAGGAGCTTCCTAAATTGCTGATCATTTCCTTTATTCTCCTGACCTTTATATTTGATTTAAGGGTGGTAATGTAAGGAGAAATAAGAAGCTAGTCTCTCTTAAGGATTAAAGGGTTGATCATTTGATGTTTCATTTCTAAATTGGTTGTAGGACTTTGTGTGTCTTCCAATTCCATTTGTAATAATATAACTACATTACCAAATCTAACAACTGCTTTGCAGTTGTCCAGATTTCATCAAACACTTTTTGATCACAGATTGAAATTGACTCCACCCAGTTTTTTACTATAATATAATCACTGTGTTTGTGTTACCTCTGGAATAATGGCTTTTTCATCCATGATCCGCAGACATTGCTGTTATTAGTGTTCTGATATTGTTCTCTTTTGGTATTTTGACCTTTTTGGTATTGCCTTCCAACTTCACAAATGATGATCTAATTCAGTTCATGCAAAAATACAATTTTATTGATGATTGTAAATGGTCTGATATTATTCAATTGCACTAAATTTGTGATAAGAGTTGGACAATTTTCCCAGTTATTTAGATTTAGGATTGACAGTAACATTAACATAACTACAGAAGTGACAAATGAAGATTTGACAAATCAAGAGAATATACGTATGATGCACGATCCTCGCAGCAGAGAGCGCTATTATTGCAATAGCGAAAATCAGACCTGAAAAAGAAATCAGACCTGAACGGGATCGAACCACTGACCAAGAGAATATAATTTACATGATCTACGAGAATTAAGTGTTAATCCATCAAAATGATCAACTGTTGGACTAGTTTGGCTTAAGAGGAGTTTTTCATGATATTTCAATTTTTTTAAACCCCGATGCCAAGGTCATATTTTGATAAAGCTATATAATTCGTTTCAGAAAATGTAAACAAAAAAACAAAAAAAAAAAACAAAAAGGAGAAGGTTTTGACAAGTATTCACTGTGGGAAAAGGTCCACACTGCATAAAAAATAAAAAAAAAACCAAGAAAAACGAAAACAAAAACCTTAAATTAGCTGTGACTGACACGTAACTTTTCAGTGAACATAGCGATGATAGAAAAGTTATTGACATCCAATTCCCAAAACTAATCTACAAGGAAATGCATATCAGCTGACACAGGGAACTACTCATCTGAACTGGTCCAACCCAGATAAAATGACACAAGAAACCTAGCCTAGAGGCCTTTCCCACAGCAGAGAAGAATAGGGGATCAAATGTCACCTCTTGAAATGCCACTCCTCTTAAAACCCCCCTCCCATTCCCCCGCACAGTGTGTCTCTCATAAGTCACTAACCAGTTTGTTTCGGTTTTATTTCTCAATGATCCCTATGCAAGAAGTATATTTAATGTCTTGATGGAAGCCTATCAGCGAGACAAACATTCATTCCAAAAGACTTTTGATTCAAGCCGACACATTTATGAGAAACTTCCATATGCGTTGTTGTTGTTGTTGTTGTTGTACCCTTCGGTCAATAATCAGTTTGTTAACTCAGCGTTCGTTCTTATGTTGTGATTCAATGATTCTCACACGCATTCGATTCGCTAACACCATAGTTATATTTTCACCATTACTTTAATTGTGGATTAAAATCGTTCAAACGGCCGGTGCACTCCAAGATGGTAAATGTGAGATGGTGTTACACCCTTCGAGTTCGCTACAGGAAGCGCCAGAGTCTTTAATACGACATCTAATATAATCCTTTGTTGTTTTACCTCGCTAATATTGCTTTTAAATCTAAAATCACAACTTGTAAGGATGCTCTGCTGGCCCTTAATGGCCTCGATGCTTAGAAATTTAACATTATTCGTCACGGAACGCGCTAATTCACAAGTTAATTCGACGATAAGCGAGCGTTAATATCAATAGAATCATTGAACACGTTGTTTAGTGTTTTAAAGGTGTTCTTAGCATCACTAGCGACATCTTACAACACTATTTAAGTAAAATGATATTGAATACAGAAACACTTACCGTAAAAACCGGTAGGAGGACTGAAACTAACAGTAGAGTCCAAGTAGGAAGAAATTCTTCCTTGACGTACGGGTATTTAATGCTGTCATCGTTGCAGAAAAACCCACGTCTAAATGGAGGGGTTATGAGTGCCAAAAAGGCATTTACGACAATTACAACCAGAAAACACCCTAAATCTACCACTATAGAAAACTTTTTGGACAACATCGGAATGATTTCTCCCTCTGGTCCTACGCTGAAGATTCGAGACTTGAAAAGTTACGTTGTGTGGCGAACAGACGGCCGCGACGTTTCACGATAATAAATAGTTACGCACACACTGCTGATGATTGATTTGTACCGATCACTAAAACAAACTTAAGTAATCGCCTGTGATATGCCCCTAGGTGGTAGGGAAGTTGTTGACATCTTAGAGGGGTAGATAGATTTTTAGGTATGAAGACGCAATTCATGAATGTTCTCATTCCACGTGCAAGTTTGTTTCGATATGTCTTGATTTTCTCGATTATTGAAATTTTCTGGAAGATACTACAGCAGTTTCAAATAATTAAACCTTAATCGACAGTTTGACAAGGGAGGATATACCCCACAAAGGAAATGAGTGCCCCCTCCCTAATGTTTTATTGCGCCTTGCGACTTTCTCTACTTTCACGTAAGAAATAAATGTCGCCTCTGCTTTTTACAAGGAGTGGTGTAATATTTCCCAAGCGGATCTTTAAACAGAATATCTGAATAAACACAGTCAATTGAATGTAAACAAATTCCGGAACCTCCAGATAAATCGAAAGTTAAGAATACAAGAAAAATGGCGCCACGAAACTCGCGATTATCGCGTGAACTGCCCAAAATAAGAGCGATAACAGGAAGTGTGTTTGATAAGCATTTGTCTTCATGATATAGTGAGAATTATGACACCCCATTACCCACTGGATAATTACGTACCCTCCACATAACGGCTATGATACCTTTGCCGCAAGTGAAAAGTTCATCCAATACGACAGAAGAGATGTTTAGCTTGACCTTGTCTAAGGATTCCAGTGAACTGTGATGCAACAAGGATGAAATGTGAGATAATTACAAAACCAAGTTTTAGATATCGGACCGCCAAGTACTTATCTTCATTTTTCAGGGATAGATTTAATCAAATTAATCCTTTATCGCAAAGTCACGTAATTTTAAATCTGAACTTTAAATCTCGCACCTGAATGTATTTATTAATTACAGACCCGCTCAGCTGAAGCCGAACCAAAAAGGAGTGTTCTGAGAGTTCATGAAACGCCGATTTTCCGGTGTGGTGTCGCCCTTGCCCAATATCACCCGGTATTGATAGATGTTTTCAAGACTTGTTTTCTTGGAGTGATGTTGTGCGGTCTAATGAGAAATTAAATGATTTTTGAAATTAACATAATTTTATTTCGGTGTTCAATTGAGAGAGCTACCGCATAAAAGCCTCCAAAAATATTGGGGAAAATATTCGACATTGGTCTTAAAAATGAAGAAATATCCGCCTAAGATAGTGGTGTTATTTTTCAGTACTGGCCAATCAAGTACAACGTATTTTAGCAGGCTGTGTCGTGATCATGATCTTGAAGCTAAAAACTACGCCCCTTTGAAATAAGTGATGATTAAGAAAGGGAAATAATTGGGTATAGATGTCAGTTAGGGTTGCGTATGTTTCCATTTATGTGCATTAATTTTGTAGTTACGTAAGTAAATTGCGAGTTGACACCCACCGGATACTACTAAAGGGGTCTGTCTTGTTACATGAAACTGTCAAAACTGATAGCGTTTCTGAAAAGGTACCCAGTGAGACTAAGTCGTGACGGAGTTATCTCCGGCACGACTGTCACGCTTTGGTTGGGTAGTGCTTTAGACTTGGGGAATATTTCAAAGTTCTTTGAACCCCGCTGGGATCCTTTTGAAACCCTTCCGGCATCACCCCGAGAATTTCATCAGGATCTCACCAGGATACTGCCAGGAAACTTAACATATCTGAAAAGGTACCCTGTAACACTGAGATAACCCTGTCACGCTTTGCTAGGTGGTGCTTTAGACTTAAGATCGACAACTAAAGAAGCTCTTGATTGTTAAACAAATTCTCCTTGCCAGCACCTTAGGAAATGTTTGGAGAACAGTATGGGGAATATGCGTACTGATGTTGGAGTGTAAAGAGTTAACGCAAACGAACAAAGAAATGAATACATGGAGACAATCATTGGCGACGAAAAATTATTTTAATGGTCTGTTACATAAACTGCACAACCTACAAGGGATCAGTCGATGCTTGGAATACCGAGATCCTTCACCAGTCACATCTGTATCTGATCTGTGAAACGATACGATAAATTTTAAGTTAGTTTCTTTCTCATCTCCCCAGGTTTCTTCATACTTGTGTCTTTTTAGCTTTTTGTTTAAGTTCAAGGTTGTTGTACAGTTGTAGGTCTTGGCTTATAGGTGCTTTTTGGAGACCACTTGGTCATAATTAAATTTTCCTCATAAGTTTTGTCCTACCCACCCTTTGCGCAAAGTTGACCGAACAATTTCAGGTAATTGGAGTCTGAATTTAAGTTAAATCCAACTTTGGAAAGAGAATAGAAGAACCCATGCTAATTAAGTAGCTTTCGAGTCGAAACAGGATGTTTACACATATGTTCTCTCTATCAGATTTCTTACTGTAAGAAAGTTCAGGGGAGGGTGGGAATGATGGAATTGTCGCCGTATAAAAGCGTATGCCATATAAGGAGATATCAGTTAGTGTCATTATATATCATCGCTTTCTAGGCAAAGATACGCCCCTGATATTTTTATTCTGACGAAAGTTTTCTTTGGAGAGAATAGAGAATATCTCAAGTAACACACAGAGCCATAGTCACCTCCAAATACTTCTTTGTTCCAACGCAAGGATCACCAAACTGGCCGTTTGTTGCCTGCAAAGAACAGCTTTGCCGTCCTTGACACTTGCTCCTCACTTTATCAATCGACCCTGCGGCTCCACAGTTTGTGGTTCTGACTCTTCCCCAACAAAGATGCCGACCAGTTAGTCGGCCGTAGTTTGCAGATATGATATCGATTTTCTTCGGAGCGGGGCACGAAATCTGCTGTGACCTACCTTCGCAAATGCGAAGGAGCTTATTCTCAGCGCAAAGAACAGTTTTTTCCACACATTCATACTTCACCTGTGTATTGTAATAAGAACGTCTTCGTTTTACAAGTTTTACCAAAGCAGAACGAGTATGATTTCGGAGAAAAAATTGGATAGAGATCGATGTCCTCATATAAGGATATGTACGCGATTAGCTGACTGGTAACCAATCAGTGATCACGTTGGTTTAGACACTCGCACCATAGCAACAATTAACAGCAGGGGAATTACTGGAAAATTTCATGGGTGCAAAACGGAAATAACCTTTATCTTTAAAAGCAAGTATTGAAATGATCGATATACCTTTTGAATTTCATGCGTGAAAAGGATACAGCTCTCCCGCCCCTCTTAAAGTTTATGGAGCGAATATTTATATTCCAAGTCATAAGTTGTCCTTCTTTGGTAGTGAACTCACCTCAAGATATTTGAAGGTCCCAACACAGGGGTCTCCAAACGCTTCGTTCTTTGCGTGCAAAGTACATCTAGTCTGTCCTTGACATTCGTACCTAGCGACGCTCATAGAACTACCAGCATGGCAGTTTGTGCTTCTCCCACGACCACAGATATTTTGTTGAGTACGGCCATAGGAGGCGCGCAGAATGTTGATATCTAACCCTCTGCAGTCTATTGTCATCTGCTTATGTTCGCAAACTCTTCGTTCCACTGTGAGAAAAAAAGAGCATTACTTGATTAATGTCTCTTACATTGATCTAAATCTAAATCTAAATATCGTTATGTCGGCAAAATCGCTAGGACATCACGCCAACTCTAAAATAATAATAAGTGAAGCTATACTAAATATACAACACTATTAAAAACTATTGAGAATTATTAAATTTATCTTCGTTTTGTTGTTGGCTTGACTTCGCGAACGAAGATTAAAAAGGTTGTCCTCGTTGACATCGGCCGCTGACCAGACCGATGCGGGAAAGGCAGATGCGCGGGCAGTATCTGCGGAGAAATGTGGTGTCAGGAGTGAAGGTGGAGGCGGCGCGGGCTTTCCTCCTCGGACGCTTGTCTTTAAGTACCTCACGTCTATCCTACTCAAATTGATATCTTCGTTTAAATGAGAAGGAAACTGCATTTTCTGGTTGATAAATTACTGCCACAAAATACAAGGATGATTCTTGTGCATAGAAGTTTTGCACAGCAGTCATGTTGGATGGCAGGAACAATGAAAATATTTTGAATAAGAAAGAATTTTTTTTTTTTCCCATGGGTAAAATAATCTATTGTTCCTCTCATCCAACATGGCTACTGTGCAAAACCTCTATTGTAAATCAAATCTTGAATTCCTAACGGGAAAATTGTGATAAACTCTTAAACATATTAGAATTACAACGAATGTGTCCGTTTAAAGTTACTTCTCTTTAGTTGAGCCCATCCACATTCCTTATCGCCTGTTCTGTGGTATTATCTTGGTTCTATATGGCTGATATGTTTACCTTGGAATCCTAAATCATTTTTAAGTCTCTCCTTCGTGTCTTTCTAAAGAGATCCAGAGTAGTTTTTTTTTTCCGTGAGTTTAAAAATGGTCGAGATATTTTTACTGAATTTCTGTTTTAGATTGGTTCAACAAAACAACCAGAGGTCACTTATATGAACCAAGCGTTTTTCCTGGAAACTTTACCTGCGTCGGCAAATGCCACTGCGAGGAGGGAGAGAGCTAACAAACCCACCATTTCTCTTTGTGACTTGAACTTGAAAGGAATCAAAAACAGACCTTCAATTTTTGAAAATCATAATGCGTTCTTAGAGGAAATACATACCGCAATTATTGAAAAATCAGTGAAATTTATGAGGAAATAGTTTTTTTTTACTTGGAAATGATAACACAATCCTCGTAATCAACAGTTATAATAACTTGGTGAGAGTAATAGTTTTTTTGGATAATGATTACCAAACCTTTTTTATTTCTACCTGTATTCAGTACCTTTACCAATGATAAAGATTGATGGTGCAAGTCTTGATAAGGTTGTTTGAATTGTATTTCGTAGCTTTTCAGTCGAATGAGTTCAGATTGTTACAGTTTTTTTGAGTCGAAGTTCATTTAGCGCAAGATGAAATTTTCAACGGATGAACTTTTCTTTTTCTCACCTTATTGGAGTCTCTCTAAGTATCTGGAATTTCTGATCCGTTGTCAAATGCGTTAGTGACTGTGATGAGAAAAACTGGGCATGTATCTCTTTATAAAGATTACCAAATGGCTTTGTTTGAACATTTTCCTGATATGAGCAATCTCATTTAAACTAATGTGTATCGATCATTTTCCGCGTAAGTAAATAATTTATCCGCTATAAACTGTTTCGCCCCTTGGGTAAAGTCACGTACACATATTACGCCCTAATACGATCAGGCTTTTTGCTTCAGTGTCTTACTTTATCAATTCTCAAAAGGGTCTCTCTTCAAGAAAAGATAAACTTTTGTGAGTCATTGCAGAAAAACGGAGCTTGGAAATACTAACACATGGCTGTTATGTAATTACTATATCCAAAAATACCGGTGGAATATTATTGTTTGGTCTTTTGTCTTGTCCTTATGACTACTTAATTACTTGATTGGCGAAAACTAAATAAATTGGAAACACTTATGACAGGAAGTTTCAGGATCAGAAATGATGTTGGCTTTTTGTAGAAGTATTTTTGGATTGAGGCTAATAAATTCGGCCCTTTTTTGCGGCCGGGACCTGAATTGAGTAAGCGTTTGAGGAAGTTGTGCACATTTTAGAGGTTTGGCAATGTCATTACAAACTATTCGTCAACTTTCCGTTTTTCTCTCCAGTTTAATTTTAGTTGAGGAATAAACAACTGTATGATTGCTTTGCGGCTCGTATTTAATTTGAAGATGAAACACTAGTGTTTTGTGTTCTCAATAAACACAATCTTCATTGTCAATAAAACTTTCATGGATCATTTTTCTATGTTTATGATGAAATATTTGCTTAACAAAATGTTTCTGGCGCTTTTTATTAATCCTTTACTCCCATAGAGTGACTGGTTTCTTGTTTCTCCTTTCATTATCACCCTTGAATCAAATATAAAGGTCAGGAGAATAATGGAAATGATCAGCAATTCAAGAAGCTCCTGATTGTCAAACAATCAGGAGCTTTATGTATATAAGAACGATCCTTCGCAATAAAGCACTATTTGAGCAATAGTGGAAATCAGACCTGAAAAAAATTTCAGGCCTGTACGGGATTCGAACCACTGACCTCTGCGATACTAGTGCAGCGCTCTACCAATTGAGCTAACAAGCCAACTGGGAGCAGGCCATCAAATTAATTCGATATAAACCCGTAGATGATAAATCGAACAACAACAAACATATGAAACATATGAGTGAACTGCGGTTATGAGACGTATATAAGAACGATCCTTCGCAGTAAAGCACTATTTGAGCAATAGTGGAAATCAGACCTGAAAAAAATTTCAGGCCTGTACGGGATTCGAACCACTGACCTCTGCGATACTAGTGCAGCGCTCTACCAATTGAGCTAACAAGCCAACTGGGAGCAGGCCATCAAATTAATTCGATATAAACCCGTAGATGATAAATCGAGGAGCTTGTTAAAGGAGGGCTTGTTAAAGAAGGGCTTGTCGAGGAGCTCCTGATAAATCAGGAGCTTGTTAGTATCATAGGAAATGAAAAGAGAACAGTGTGGAGAATATGCATATTAACGTTAGGGTGTAAAGGGTCAGATATCTTTTCGAAGATTTGATTCAGTCTTAATAGGCCATTTCCGAATTACGTTTGGCCTCTTTCTCAAAACGAGGCCTGGTGCTCAACCATACGCATGAAAATGAGTTTGATTTGCTTGTGAATGAAAACTTATTACCATACGAAAGGATGAGCACCAGGACTCGCTTTGAAAAAGAGGCTAGAGGCAATTCGGAAATGGGCTATTGACATGAGATCTTGGATTTTTTCAGGTCTACAATAGGGGACAAAGATATCGTGTTGATGTGACAAAAAAATAGCTTCTGTCTTTTTTTCTTGTTGTTGTTCTCGTCGACAAAATAGAAGAAAAACCTTGTTCTCTGCGCAATGTCATGATAATTGACCATTGTAGATTTTCAGTTCTGGGAGGGGGGGGGGAGGGTGAGTTAAATTTGATTTATGCCGTTTTCTCAAATTTTACTCAAAAGGACTTCCAAGTGGGAGTGGGATGGACGGACGCACAACTAGATGAAACTGGAATGACATGATTGCTGAGGTGGATTATGGGTTAGGAAAAGTAACTTGTTTTTAAATTTTGGCCAAGATTTAAAGTTTTCTGTTGAAACGATAATACTGTCCCGATGAAAAAATTGCGAAGGTCGCGTACAAGTACTTTATGTCTACAAAGTATTATCTTCATTTTCCTCATTATCGAAAATGGGTCGAAATCTAATTCAAAGAAGGAATCAAAGAATTTCATTAATGTGAACATGAGGTTTAATGATCCTTTTTAAAGAAACTCTACAGGCTACATTGGATCATTTTTTGATCAGTGGAGTCCAATCTCTGGCAGGTGACAGATCCTGTGTGATCATCACTCACATCTGTATCGAACCTGTGGAGAAATGAAATAAATTTAATCGTCATTTTGATGTTCTTATACTGCTTCTGAGACTTATAAAAACACCAACAGCGAAAGAGTGAGAAAAGTTTCTATCAATGTATCTCCTAAGGCAGAAGGAATCCAGTTGGAAACAATTCATTTGATTATTTAATGTGACCCTGATACCGGCTGTGCTGTCACGGTAACGGTTACCTTGATCCCCCAATGAAGCTCCGTAATGTTCTTATGATCCCACTCAATATATGAGGTGGGGAGTAGGTTAAAATCGGCTTCAATTCTCATGAACGTAAAGAAACAAACGAGTGACAATCAGCAATGGGTTAGTCGGAAGGTCGCCTTATTGTGTGCAAAGACGTTTCTGAATAACTCTCCTGGAAGCCTGTGTTTCGCTTACTAACCTCCAAATATTTAGTAGTACCCTGACAAGGGTCACCGAAGTGTCGGTTATTTGCCTCCAAACGGCAGCTCTGACTTCCGTCGCAGTTCCGATACACATAACTGTACGCTGACGTTTCGCAAGATGTGGTATATACTGAACCTGAGCAGACGTGGCTTCCCGTCTTGCGACCGTAAAACGCCGATATGACATCGATTCTGTCGCTGCCGTAACAACGGATGTCACCCGAGTCGCGTTCACAAATCCTCTTCAGTTCTCGTTGCCCTCCCGATTTGCATCTGTACGAGACCTATGGATCAGGAATACAGCAGAATGTGCATCAACTAGGCCTTTATAAGGGGGCAGGAGGTTGTAGGATCAAATGTTAGAGTATTCTTTTCTCCACCTTTTTCAACTCGAGAGCCGAAGGCGTAATGACTGTCAAATCAATTCTACACATCGCGGCCGCTGAACATATGAAACATCAAATGGTTTAAGGTGTTCGTCACTGGTTTTGAAAGTCAGACGATCATTATAATGCTATTAGTTATCAAGGCGAGATTTGCCGTACACCTTCATACATTTTCCCCCACCTGAATGCTAGAGGAACAGGAACTGAGAAAGAAATAAAGGACTTCTCCCGGGTCACGAGTATTGCTAACGCCCGTCCATTTAACTTTGCCCGATATTGGCTAGAGAGTGCCTTCCCGTGAGAAGTAGTAGTAGTACTAATGCTCTATTCAAACACGGAAAATCATCAGCTCAATACTACAAGTTAAAAACTAAGACTGTTTACAACTGCTTTACATGATTGCCGTGTGGGAATCCGATATGTTGGATACCTTCTTCAGATTTCGCGTTAAAAAGCTGGTGAACAGACCGGAACATTTTAAAGCGATTGGGCAAATTATGCTTGAACGTGGCCCTGCTATAGGAGAAGTTACGTTATAAATAACTGGTTCTCGATTTCGGCAAAGCCAGTTTTCCCTAAAACCTGGAATAGTTTTTTTTTTTACTCTAAGCTTACCACCAGATATTTCACGGTGCCAACACACGGATCTCCGAAAGCTGAGTTCGAGACGTACATGCTGCAGGATCGCCGTCCGTTACATTCGCCTCTGACGTAACTCGTCGCACTGGTGTAACAGTTTGTATTCTCTCTGCTTCCTCTCTCGAAGCAAACTCCCGACTGTTGGCGTCCGTACCACGCCCTTTGAACGTCGATCCGCCCAGAGTAGCAATGCAAGTACATTGTGTTCCGTTCACAAGTTCGTTCCCAGCTCTCTAAAAAAGATACCGATAAAACGGTCTCTTATCAAATAAATGTGTGTATGTATGTATGTATGTATGTATGTATGTATGTATGTATGTATGTATGTAATGCGCAAAAAATAATCGGCTATATTAACGGGGTGGACGTATTAGCCGGGCAGGGTCAAATTTTCATGACTCAAGGGTCGTAATGATTAGCATATCGCGTGCGCTCTTCAATAAACAACATCGATCACCCCATGGTAGCAGCTCAAGTACATTGTGCGCCTCTTCAAGAAATATCTTGACGTAAATGTATAGATTACAGTTGTGGATTTAAATTTGGAAGTACAACGTAGTATTATGGTCTGGCTGTTGCTAACTTTCCGGAGGTGGAGGAGAGGGACTTAACTCGTTGGGGGAACGGGTGGGGGGTAAACTCGTAACACTTGCCTATCAAAGGTGAGGACAGAAATCCTTCTCCAATTTGTGTACACCGAGGATGAACTTTGGACAAACCAACAAATCAGTAGAGTTTTCATAGGACTTTCTTTGACTCGTCTTTTTTTTGTTTCGATATACTCTCAGATGTAAGATCAAAGACGTTACAGTTTCAAAGCTACTTTTCAGTTGATGCTAAAGGTTACGCGTACAATACATCAGGCGAGCCAATTATGATCACGTACCCGCGTTTAAATTGAAATAGAAGTTAACAACAAGATGTCTATCACACGCGCTTTTATCGTCTTTAGAAAGTTCCAAAAAGTTTGATAAAGGAAGTGTAAATAAGATATTCTGCCACGTCAACTACATTCATTTATTTTACTAAAGAACATTCGATACAGTGACAACAGTAGCACTTAAGATATGCGATACGACGAGAACAATGAACCGCTGTCTGTCCTTTCAAGTCTTGCAAGGGAGGTTTTTATGCAATAGAATGTCTATCTATCTATCACGATCCAAAGTAATTTTGTTACATTGAAAGGAAAGTGAGTTTCCTTCGCAGTTTTTGGCTGAGGAAAAATACTGTTGTCGATGGGTTCGAGAGGAACTTTTCATCAGAATTCACCCAGCTTTCAGTAAGACAACACAGTCGCAGCGAGTAGACCGTGCTAGCATTGTAGATGCTACACCCTCAAATCTCATCGGAGTCTTACCCGCAAGGGTAAAACAGAAACACGGGGTTAAAAAAAGTTAAACCTTACCTGCGCAACAAAAGTTCACCGACAGGTATAGACAAATTGCTAGCAAACGCAACATCGTCCTTTCAAATAGAACCTGGAGACTAAAACAGGGGAGAAATGGTAGAATACTTTGTTATGGAATTAATTCGTTTAACAATGTTCGAATGGTGATACAGTATAGGAACACGCCATAGAGCCCAATTATTCATCATTAAGAAGCGACAGCTTATTTACGAACAACTTTAAGACTGAAAAGTGCAAAAAAAGTTTTCTAAAATGATGCACAGAACTTTAAACAGATTCATTTCTATGGTGGCTTCGCTTACCTCTTGAGGTCTTAAATTCTTGCAGCACTGACAAGATGAAACCCTGCCCTGTTATGAACAAAGAAGTAACTTAACAAAGAAGTTATAGTCCTTTTAAACTGGTAACCAGATTCTTTCCCCGTTCGGAAAAGAGAGAACTTGAGACGGGGTCATCAGTGGACCGTGAAATTATGTTTCGTGCCATAATCACGAAATTCAGAAGGTAATGAAAAGGACCTCAATTTGTAAAAAACTGTGACAAAGAGTATAAAGAGACTGATAATAAGTTTTGTGGCAAAACTAATTAATTGTCACCTAGACCTATGATTCGAGAGCTTCTTTTTTTTACCAAGTAGCTCGTACCGTTTTTAGGCCAAGTGAAGAAACAGCTGGCTGTGAACTGTCATCAAAAAAGACCATGGTGTTATTAAAGACACTTTTTATTGATATTCTGATCACGTATCCTGATATTTTTGTCCGAAGTCTGATTGCTGAATAGGAAACACGAGCTGTAGTCTAAATAATCGCCACGGGAGTACAAATAATCAAACGGTTAAGGGGTAAATGTCAAAGGGGTAAGGAGAAAAACATCTGAGTCACGTAGAAGTATGTGAACGGGATATTTTCTTTTTCCGCTGGAGGATGCTGTATCTGAACCAAAACAAACTAGGTAGAAAATACTTTATATCTTAAATTCTTCTAGAATGAGCGTCCTTAATACTTCACAATCTCCTCCCTGTTTTCTAGCTCTAACAACTGATTCTCTCTCTGTTCCCTCTAAAAACCATGTGATCCTCCCAAATCCTCTGCCTTCCCCCCTCCGGCTGTAAATAAGCTCGAGGGGTGGGGGTGGTAAGAGTAGGTTTTGGACACTTCAGTCAATTAATCTTCGTGTCATACTTCAAAGGTGAGGAGGACTTTTCAGAAGAGACCTTGGCTCTTTCTCAAGACTGGATTTATCACGTGGTTGGTTTTCAGGCCCATGGCTTAACACAACACAGCCAGTGGGCTAAGTACCTGTTGCTGGAAGGTGGCCAGGTGTCTAGAGTGGAAGGACTTTGCGTGGGGGAGTTTAAGTTTGCGTTGCTTACTGGCATGTTTTAGCAAGTCCAGTCAGATCGCTCTGAACATTCCTTTTTAACCTCAGAACATGCCTCGAAGTTACGGTACAAGAAATCCTACAGCCATCCCAGAAAAATGTTTTGTTCCCCATCGTCCTACCGACCCTTTTTTTCGGAGGGTAAAAAAATACAAACATCCTGACTTAACTTTGAGTAGAACTCGTTTATACCTAATTTTTCAGCCCGTATATGATATGAGACTTTTGAGCTATGGACACAGACAAGCGAACGTACGCATACCGATTTTATCGTGGAAACAAAGAAACAAAATTTGATGGGAGGATAAAATTCAACTACAAAACCAATGCGAGGCTGAGCTACTGTCCCTAGCCGGCACTTAACTAATAAACACCACTGTGGTCATTCTAGTGATGCCGCTGGCTTAAGGTCCCGTCTGACAGCTATTCATGACAAAATATAATACTTAACAAATGGTAAACACCACAGCGCGCACTATTGAGTTATGGATGCAAGCTGGAGGTTGCTAAGCACGAAAGAAGCGAAAGAGTCGCGCGAGGCGATAGCCGAGAGCGACTCTAGCTTCTTGAATGCTTAGAAAACCTCCCAAATGCATCCATAACTCAATAGTGTGCGCTGTGGTGTTTACAATTTGTTTTATTACATAACACGGATACATTGTAGCAAAAGAGTTCCCTCTTATTTAACGAATCTTGCGTGACCAGAAAAAAAACAAGCGCGCGCGGAAAAATAACCTTCGCATTAGCTCACGTCAGCAGCGTACACCCATGGGCAAATGAAGGACGCTGAATTGACCAATCAGATCGCGCGCTTTGCTTTGGTTATGTTATAATACTCATTGTTCTTTCATTTGTGATGCAACAGCAGCAATGAGTGCTGCTCCTTTTCCTGAACCATCTTCTGATAGCATAAAGGTGATGTCGGCTTCCGGTAAAATTTCAGTGAGAGTCTCCTGCATGTAATTCCTAAACTTTGGATGTCTTTTAAAGAGGCTTCCGTCAGCGGCAATCGTGGTCGTGAAGTTACCAGTTTTCTGTGTACAAAGTTGACAAAAATTTTATCTGCTAAAATCAGTGAATGCATCATTAAAAACAAAAAATAATGTTTACTACTCTAATTGACCATATTTTATTATTTCTGTCAGATTCAGAAAATCGTAAAGTTCAAATTGTGACCAATCACATTGGAGATCAAGACACGCAGTCATACCACAAGAACCAGAAACTAAAGGCTATTATTTCTAGTGTTCTCAATTCCGATTGGTGCTATCTTCTCATATGATAATATACCACAAACATATCCAGTGTTCATGGTCTGTTGGGTTTAACAGGAAGTAATCAGGGATGCAAATGAAATTATGATGAATGAATGAAACAAAATAAAACAGACAGTCAAAATACTCAATACAGAAAAAAATATACACGTCAAAATTTGAATTAATAACTGAAATATCGAATCACGAGGGTCAAGATTTGTAACACACACCTTAACTATTGTGGCAACGCCTGCGGCTGCTACCTTGGCAGCTCTCAAGGATAATGCAGCACAAACTCGCCGCAAATTCTCGATGTCAGATTCCGAGGCTTGTTCCGCCACTTCCATAGTATTGAGAACCTCCTCTATCTTATGCTTTTCGTGACTGAAAGATTTTAAAAAAATTTCATATTGACCATGGATGTTATGATTATATCATGTATACTATTATAATCTATAACGATTAAATGGTCCACTGTAATTTTACAAAATACATAATAGTTTTCTCTGCTCTAGCCCAAGTACCTTTCAACCAGAGACACGAATTCAGCAGGGAAACTATTTTTGGTCCTGAATTTTTCTGTGACTTCTCCTTTGAAGAGGAGTTTCTTGTTGACCAGGTCCATGCACACGATTCTGGCAAGTTCACCAAGATACATACCAGATATCATCTTCTCAAATCTGAGTAAAAGAAGTAAAGGTTGCACACAATTCAGAAATGTTCTGTCCAACCCAACAGTATTATTTGAGACGCAGAGCAGATAACTGTATGTTCGTTTGCTATGATGGAACAGTTTTTCAATTGAGTGACGAAACTAATCCGGGATTGCTTTTCGTTTTACTTTGCTGTGTGATTGGTCTGATTAAACTTGAGCCACTTTCTCAGCCAATCAGAATCAAAGCTAAAACCAATCACAACTTTGTTGCTCGCGTTTTCCCGCGCGTTTTTTACTTCGAGTTCCCATTGGCCCCTTAAAGGTTTTTTCCTTTCTTCTGATTGGTTGTTGTAATTACTTTCGTTTTGGGTTTACTTACATCTGTTGACGAGGGTTACTGGATTCCTCATCAAGTCGTTCATCGTACTTTGTTCGAAGATGATCCAGAGATCCATTGTCACCAAATGCACCCCACTCTGTGTTGATGATCACTTGCCGTGGTTCATCTTGATCACCGTCCCATTTGGGAACATTATCAAGGCTCTCCATGTAGCAAGCATTGGTTCCCGTGCCCAAGATAAGCCCAGCGCTGACAAAAGGGTTCTCGAATGCACAAGACATCATTGTACCTGTGGTGTCATTGACAAGGGCAACAACATCCACTGTGGAACTCTGCAGAGTAACATAATCAAAAGAATTTTCTTCATGATCTTTAACTGACTGTTCGAAAATGAAGTTAAGATCACGCTGGTCTACCAGTTTAAACCAAATGTTCCCACCTCCTCCCCCACTGGTCCCTGAAATTCTAGTGACTATTGATGGCAGCAAAGAACAGTCGTTAATTATTACGGAAGGCAGCCCACCAACACTCTTTCAGTAAAAAAGTCAGTTTAAGTTCTTAAACTCGTACTTCTCTGCGCCATCAATGAAATTTAAGCCCTACTTGAAAAGCTATCCCTAAGTACTCCACGGGTCTAATCTTATAACGATAAAGGCTGATAGTTTCGAAAGAAACTGTTTGGGGCTGCGTCGGTGGGAGTAACGAAATAATTTGGATATATCAACAAAGTTGAAGTGGTAAATTGGCCACCGTAACGATTACAAAAGCTGACGTTTCGAGCGTTAGCCCTTCGTCGGAGCGAATAGAGGAATTGTGGGTTGTGTGTGCTTTTAAAGGCAGAGAATGGAGCTACGTTATTGGTGGGAACATGGCAACGAGAAAAACAAGAATAAATTAGTGGAATGAAAAGCGTTCGTTGATCCCTGTGGGATTTAGACTGCCGGTTTGAAAGATGAGCTTTTGTTCAAGATTTTTACGGCTTTCCGTGCTACCTAAGTGTAAGGAAAGACCGCAGATTGCCATATGTTGCTTAGAATGATTAGGTAAATTAAAATGTCTAGCGACTGGTTTCGATGTGTCCTTGTCATTCCTTTCCACGTCTCGAAGGTGTTCTCGGAATCGGTCACCTAGTCTTCTGCCTGTTTCGCCGATGTATATCTTTTTGCAATAAGTGCAAGTTATGCAATAGATTACATTGGCGGAGGTGCACGTGAAGTGATCGGTGATCTTAATGGATCGTTTAGGTCCCGATATTTTATCAGTGTTGTGAATGAAAGGACACGTTTTGCATCGTGCACGAGCGCATTTAAAAGTGCCTGGTTGGTCATTAGTCTGAAAAGAACTTCTGACCAAAAANTAATGTGGATTAATGTGGATTTAATGTGGATTAATGTGGATTTAATGTGGATTAATGTGGATTTAATGTGGATTAATGTGGATTTAATGTGGATTAATGTGGATTTAATGTGGATTAATGTGGATTTAATGTGGATTAATGTGGATTTAATGTGGATTAATGTGGATTTAATGTGGATTAATGTGGATTTAATGTGGATTAATGTGGATTTAATGTGGATTAATGTGGATTTAATGTGGATTAATGTGGATTTAATGTGGGCCCAAGGCGATCACGAGAGTAGCTCTGAGGCCTCTTATTATTAGATATTAACGCAATGTCAGCATCTTTGTGTTCCCACCACAATATTTTACCCCTTTCCCTTCCCCCCACAAAATTTTACCCTTCCCTTCCCCACCACAATATTTTACCCCCTTCCCTTCCCCCCACTTCTAAGTGAAGGAGAGAGTGGGGGAGGGGAGACCAAAATGCCGGAAGAACTCAGCATATTCCTTATAATTAAATCCATTACAAGACAAGCCATGATAATTTTAAATTTAAATTAACTCACCATTCCTTTTCTAACAAGTGCCTCCTTAAGTAGTTTGACAACATCCTCATTTTCTATCCCAGAAGCAGAAAATCCCTTGGTCCATCTGATCAGCGACCCTGATGTGAGTGATGATTGCTTGACTGGAAAAGAAAACGTAAATCCGAGCGGCAGTGTTTTGTTAGAGAGGTCGTGTTTCTTCACAAAGAGTGAAATATGATGAGCAATGTAGTTAAAAAACGTTTCCGCGTCACTGGTCTTAATTGTCTGAGTCATCGGTGGAATTTCGATTGTATCTTGAACTCGGCCATTCTGTATAGAGATTGATAACAGCCTAAAGTTTGTTCCACCAAGATCCACAGCAAGGAAATCACCAGATTCTGAGCCACTTGGAATCGCCCTTATATATGTAGGAAGCATTTTGACCGAGCTCTCCGCCCGCTCTTCTTCATTGGCAGAGAGACCTTTGTCGAAGTCTTTCCGTAGAAGATTCATTATCTCCTGGATGGATTCGTTTGACAAGTCAAACATTTTTAAAACCTCTGATACCTGCCAAAGAAATGAAAACAATTCGAAAACTCATTCATTGTGGCACACCATTGAATGGAATAAATCTTCACGATCACTCAGTTTTACTGATGAAAATTAACTCTTATCTGTGTACGGAACCATGGACTTTGTACCTCAGAGCATAGAGCCCATTCTGCTCCGTTATTCTCCGAACTGGAAGTTTTTGGATACTTTCCAAGGCAATACGTTTGAAATCGAAATTTCATGTTTTGTCATCAAAATAACTTATTGCACCCATTGGTTCTCAACCTTTGTGTAACAAATAGCCAAACTGACTGGTATGACACCAGTACATTCAGTAATATCGAACACGTTTGTGTCTTGCAGATAGCAGGCAATGTACAATTTTCTATCAAGGTCCTAAAAGATGGAACTCTCTTCCTGTATCAGTTACTTGTTCGTCAAGTCTATTTAGCTTTAAGACGCGAATGCTAGATTTTTTTATTAAAAGATTCTCCGAATTAGTGGCCAAGCGCTTATCGTTTGAATAAATTGTTGTAAGCGAGGTGGCCTCTTCTATAAGCCCAGTAGTTTCTTGAGGTATCCTCGTCTTATAATTGAGAAGCTGTGGATTAATTTATTGTTATTGTTCAAAAGGTAAATTAATGATGATGATGATGTACCTCGTCTGTTTTCTTGAAAGCCCTGAACAGAGTTTCAAATGTTGATTGTGCGAAAGATGTGGCCTCAGGCATTTTTGCGACGACCTTGGACTCTGTGAATGTTCAAATCTGCAAGAGATGCATTTGTCGATATCTCATAAGATGAAATTTCCAAGCACGAAAAATGAAGAATTATGAAAGCTGAGGAGATTTCATATAGATACAAGTAAATGAGTATGAAATTGATCTTCGCGGTAATCATACATGCAGGTTCGGATTTTAGAAATATCTTAGTTTATGTGTTGAGAAATTGATAAATGATACACTTCAAAATTTTGGGTAACTTTTGACCAGTGTTCTTGAAAAATCTTAGTTTTAGATATGACGGATGTAAAGAGAAGAGAAAAATGAGGAATAGACCACTTTCATAAATGGCTGCCGTATAAGTATTCTTTTGTTTAAATTTAAATTAGCCCTTCTGGCCTCGCTTGAGATAATGTATTCTTTTGAATTTTGTACTGGAGAACGAGGCCAGTAGGGCTAATTTAAATTTAAACAAAAGAATATTAATCCGGCAGCCATTTATGAAAGTGGTCTATTAGCTTTTATTTAAGCTGTTATGCTCTCGACTTTTGACACAGAAAGGTATACATTTTTTCCTACAGGAGGAACACTGAGAATTATGTTTCAGCAAATCCCAAGTGGATGCACCCACATGACCAGTAAGTGTATCAAGTTTTATTTTTGTTTTCCGAATATTTATCATGCCGCTGTAACCGCGATAGATTTGTGTCTCAGTTCAGCGCAATATTTTTCTTTTTGTGGCTCCAGGAGAGACTCAATGCCCAGTATGTTGCATATTAGGCCCTAAACTTACTTGATTCATCTTTCCGAAAACTGTTTCTCTAATGAGCTCAGCATAATTTGAATGAAAACCTGAACCTTTCCCGAGCAAAATTAGTCCAGTGATAGTACAACCCTCAATATATGTAAACAAAATGCATAAGACTTTAAAAGACTGATTCATTTGTATACATTACCTTCCTCTTTAAGCCTCTGAACTCCTACGATGCTCACAAGATAAAGCTCTTCTGTGTTATGAAAAAGAAGTCACCTGGCACGGAATTTATGGGCCGTGTAAACTGGTTACCAGATTCTTTCGCGACTCGGTCAGCTGAAAGAGAGCAGGATCCAAGGGAACCAGAATTAAAGGCACCAGTGAAACGGGAATAAGCACAGGAAATGACTACGAACCATCTGTCTAATACGGGATTATCAAAAGGCTTTTTAGTTATTTTTCGTCTCATATTCGTATTGTCCAGTCTGAGCACTACTTTTGCCAAATCTGTGACAAAGATGTAAAAGTAGGCTGATAGAAAGCGTGCTAAAATTCATCGTCGCCCAGAGATGTTTAGGATTCAAGAGGTTCTCCTACTTTTTACAGGGTTACTACGAACGTCTTAGGCTAAAGGAGAAAATAGTTAACTGTGAGACCTTCAGGTAAATCAAAACTCATTATGTTGATATTCACATAACGAGTATGTAAACAGCTTCTTTTTGATATATTAAAGTTCACACAGCAACCAGGTGGACAATCAGACATAGCATGATGCTACTCTTGGTTTAAAGATTCAATGAATGTAACCGGGGAAATTAAAGGAGCGTGGTTTTTTGAAAACTTGGTAGAGAGATGCATCATATTTTGCTAAATCAGGTGTTTCAATAAAAGACCTTTCACCGCCGTCCGCTGACCTTGCAGGCAAGTTCTCCTGTGTGGGTTTCGCCTGATAGCTCCTTTTATGGGACGACCCGTCTATTTCATCATCGGCAGCCGCTTATGGAAAAAGTTACTGAAAATGACAAAAAATGAACAACCACCGAACTCGTTTTTGAGTTACAGGCACAAAAAAAGCTTTTATTGGTGTCACGGACACCAGCGTCCCGGGGTCTCGGGTTTAAACATATTCAAGGATGTTTTGTAGTCACGGGTTTTACAAACGCCCGTCAATCTAGCTCTGAATGATGAAGTTTGGCTGAGGTGTGCCTTCCCATAAACGTGATACTGAACTTAACTTTGGCTATTATAGCCTGCCTCTAAAGAGGGACTAAACACCGGAAAACGCAACGAGAAACAGCGAGGCAATAATGATAGAATATTGTTATGGACCTTATTTGTTGAAGGCTTTTGGCTCTAAATTTTGACTCGGGTGGTAATATGATTAAATGATGCATAGCGTAAATACTCTTAGCCTTCACTAATATAGCTAAATGAAAGTAATTTAGAGTAGAAACTGGCTTAAAATTTTGAAGTTAATTCTGCTGACAGGCAGAAATGGTTTAGTGCGTTTTTCAGCCGCCAGTAGGTCGTAAGCCACTAAAACAATATGTCTGCCCCTTGGCTGACCTTCGTTTTGAATTTAATTTGTTGCCAATGTTCAGCACTCTTGCATGAGGTAAACTCCACAATTTACTGCTTAAATGTCGCTGTGCTCATTTAAATTTTTTGTAAGAAATTTGAAGGAGAACATCTTTTTGGCTGTATGACATCGTTTATGAATCGGGCTCTTTGCGAGATTCACAGGCAAGATCGTGATAAAGCTAAGATTATGCGGCCTATTTTGATGAGAAAATTTTGCCCATCGTGGTGGCCTGTAACCAAATATTGCTGAAAGCTGACAAGTCAGACTTGATGATCAGTAATCCTAAATAAGCTTTATAGTGCGGATTTGAAATCGAAGGAATAGGTACACAACAACTGTAAAGTTCAACTTTCGAGATCAAATAATGGCTCAAACGTGACTTGGTTTACTCGTTCCCATAATGTTTATGTCTGATTAAAGCCTTCTATTCCCGGAAGAGAAAGTTGTTTCTGTTTGATGTCACGTATTGATGCTTGGACCTAATGTTTATACTTGATGTTAAAATTATTTGTATCTTTAGAGATCTTCGTATCATTTGAATGTAAGCCTGAACCTTTCTACAGCAAAATTAGTCCTGTGATAGTAGGTGCCTTGAATATAGAACCTTAAAAGATGTAAAAAAAAATGCACAGGACTTTAAAACACCAATTCATTTCTAAACCCTACCTACCTCTTTACATCTTTGAATTATTGCGATGCTCATAAGACAAAGCTCCTCTTTGTTATGGAAAAAGGAGTCACTCAGCACAGAATTTTTATTTCAGTCCTAATAAGCTGGTTACCAGATTCTTCCTTGAATCGAAAGAACTAAAATTAAGGAAACCAGTAAAACAAGAACTGACAGAAAAGGAAGTAACTGATCCTACCGACTATTGCGTGATCATCACATGAGAGTCTGTTCCTTCCTAGATTATAAACTCAAGATTTCTATCGCGTGATAGTTGACGAAATCGAAGCCCGAATCAATGATCACACATAGAATTCTAGAACGAAAAATCTAATTGTTTAAAGGTAGATCTACCAGTTGTTCAAAGCTCAATGGCATAAAAGGCTGAGGTCTATCACGGAATAGACAGCCTAGAGCTTAGCCCATCAGATTGCCGCGGCGTTTGTGATAAAACCGAACAGAAGTTGATTTATCCTAATCGCGCATCTTTCACCCGCTTTTTTTGACGAAACTGTAGCGAAGTAAATAGAAACTGATAGAAAAGTGTACTAAAATTCGTTTTCACCTTAAAATCTACATGGTTCTTTTTTCTACGAGGCTTTTTTATACGTTTGAAGTAAAAAGACGAAGATATTAATGTGACTTGCGATTAAACAGACCCTCAGATAACAAGACAAGACATGTGTTAGATTTTCTGATCGGGTGTCTAAAGCTCATTAACTGAAAATACAAAACCGGATCGCCACGGGAGAACATGAAAGAGCATAATATTAGGTGCTTTGGTCGATGACCTCAGAGATTAAAAAAAAAGAAAAAAAAATCTTAATGTGGAGTGATGATTCGAACCTCAGACCTTCTCCACGCTGTTGGATACCCTATAGTCTGCTGCACAGAAACACGTGATGTTGTAATAAGCGGCCACGTAACAAGCGTTCTCGATACTTCTCGACTAGGTCAGTTTTTCTTTTTTCTTAGATTCTTAATTAGTCATTTCAAAACACAGCCGCACTCGATGTCGACAAAGTGTCATGCCAATACAAGTTAAAAGGATATGTTTCATCACACCTCCACACTGTATGCTTGTTGGTGACTACTTAAATTTAATCTTCAATTTTTAATTAGCAAGTGCTGAATCATCTGTTGTTTCATCCACATTTGTAATTCAAGTGTCATTTTTTTTAAAAAAGGAAATCCACTCAATTAGTTAAGGCCATGAGATGAAATTTATCAAAAAAATGAGACATGATCTTTTATTCGAGATCGTGATCTGTCAACACTCAACACTTTTCATTCTAAGTTTACAGTCAGAGAAAACGTGATTACAGCATTAACTTCTTGCATGAGGATAACTTTTTTTCCCTTTACAGATATGGCCATTTTTATGTTTTATAGACCATGCAAACAGTGCTTGTGTACTCAATCATCAGTGGATTTAACCATTTAACTCCAAGATCTGATTGTGAATTCTCCCCACTAGCTGCTACACATTTCCTTATAAATTAGTCACAAGAATCTGAGGTTTGATCAAGATAACTTGCACCTGATAAGTTCGAGTATTCTCATTACCTGTTTGCTGAGTAATGTATGGATTTTATAAGGAGAAGTTACATGTTAATCACTTCTGGGGGTTAAAGGGTTAATAGAGTGCTCGTAAAATGGCGTAGTTTGGTTGGATTTTTGATAAGTTTCAGTTGAATTCGTATTTCAGTGAAGTAAATCCTTTAACCCCAAAGGCTGAGTGATTTGCTAATTTCTCCCTACTCTATCACTGTAACCGCCATGGGGTCCCTGTGTTATTTTCTCTGGTTTCCTGTGTTAATTGTACTCATGCGTGGTCTCTGGTCTCTTCACTGCGGCCACGAGGCCACGAGTTTTCTATCGAGATTTTAAGACAGTTTTTATCATTTTCCCATGGTATTTTACAATCTTTGAGTTGGTAAACCGGCCTAATTTGTAGTTAAAGGTTTAGTAAGTCGAATAAAAGAGGGGGGCTTTGGGATTTTCGGTTTTGCGGTTTTGACTGTTTTTTGGATCGGTTTTTCGGTTTTTGGGCTAAAAAGGTTCGGTTTTTCAGCTTTCATGTTCAGAGCGGTTTGCGAATTTTACATGTTTTTGCATTCGGTTTTCGGTTCTCACGAAAACTCTGATGCTGTTTTCGGTTTTTCCTTTTTGACTCCTTTAAAGGTGAAAGTGTAGCGGTTTTGTCAGGTTTGCGAGCGGTTTTCGGTTTGTTGCCTTTTTTCGTCGGTTTTTCGGTTTTGGAGGTTTTTTCCTCTGGTTTTGCGGTTTCCCAGAGGCCCCAATGCCCCCTCAATAAAGGGTATTAATCGTTCAAGCCGCAGTGCAGTAACAATCATCCTTGAATCAGGAATGACCAAGAGTGGATTTCTCCCTACAACATCCATACATTTTCGAGTAGAAAGGTGACAAGAAAAATGAAAATATTAACCAGGGGGTAAGTATTGTTTGATTTGACATCAGATCTTCAGAGGTGAAGATACAAAAGATGTTTGGCAGACTGTTAACCATTCAACACTTGAGAGAGACTGGGATCTAATTTCTCCTTGTAGCATCACTTCTGAACCAAGCACTGACTTTAAGGTAATAAGAATAAAGAGGAAAATGATTACAAACTAAGTAAGGTCCTGAGAGTCAGCAAATTCTCCTCGTTAGTACCATAGGAAATGTATAAGGTCTAATATGCATACTAATAGAATGTGTGGGTGTAAAGTGTTATTTAATTGATATAAAAGTGTCCGGTGTTCTGTTTTCGTGAGTCCTTGCCAGTTCCTTAGTCCTCAGGAGTGGAGATCTGCTTCGGCTGCTGCGGCAACAAAGTATACACTTTAGGCTTACGGATTCGGATGGCGAACAACTTCAGCACTTTGAAGGTCTACACGAAAAAAAAACCATTGTTACCCTGTATAAAATCTGCTACTTTGACTCCAATGCAGGGACATGCTCATAGTTTTACAGATCCAATCTTCCTGTCGAGTTTCTCGTATCATTAACTAATGATTGATGTACGACGATAGATAATGTGGTTTTATCCGTCAACTGAGTAGACAATGTAAATTGAGCGAATGACGAAGGGCTAAGGCTCGAAACGTCAGCTTATAAACCCTTTACTGTGGCCAGTTACATTATCAATTCAGTTGATAAAACCAAATTATCTTTTCATACTCCCCCACCGACGCAGTACCGTAGTTTCTTTAGAAACTTACCCCCATTACGGTTTGAACATAGTTAACACAAGAGAGACAGGCACAGAAAGATAAAGGAAGACAAAGTTAGCCCTGGTAGACTGTCAAAAGAGACAGGCAGACAGAAAGTCAAACAGATACGTAAGAAAGACGCAGAAAGTGCTTCTTCTATTCCATACGCCTTAGTTTGTCCAAAATATCGCAATCAACTCACCATCAGCCAGGCAATGATGGCTCCAAGCACGAAACCAGCAACAACATCACTCAAGAAATGAGCATTTTCAGCGATTCGGCTTAGTCCGACGTAGAGCGCCAGAGATACGACCACAACCTGGAGCAATGGCTTGATAAGCTTCGTTTCTGTCCTCACAGCTGACTGGATATAGAACTGCACATGAAGAGAAAAAAATATTTTGTCACTCGAGTATCACGGGAGAAACGAAGCACCTTTAGACCTCCTTTAACGCCAAAATTATTTGTACACTCCTTTTTTTTGCCTGTTTGTTTGGTAACTCTTGTCCCCTTCTTCGTCGCCAATATAGTCTTGACTTTTATCCATCCAACTCTAGTTTAAGTAAAAGCACAACCTTGCTTGGAGTGAAGGGAAGTGAAGTTTTTAAATTGAATAAGAACTTTTTAAACTAAAGGACTTTGTAGACGAACCGCTGTGCCAAGTACTTTTTCCCCTCAGCGCTGATATTTGAATGAACGATTGATAAATTTTTTTCTTCGAAAATCCCGGTGAGATTCCCGGCGGGGAACACCAGTGGGATACGGGGGAAACTTGTGGGATACCGATGAAGTAACGGTGGGATACCAGGTGCGAACCCGGTGGGATATCACTTTCACAAGCTATTTATGCAGAGCGTGCAAATGAAACAAAAGAGGGAATCATTCGATACGGAGTGGACACACACTCATTGGACACACACTGTCGCTTTTGAAAAGGCGCAATAGAAGTGATAAACTTACCGCAAGATACAACATGGCATACATGCTCAAGGAAGAGTGACCAGATGGAAAAGACATCCTGTATAAAAAGTCATCAAAATTACCGACACTCGTGCCATTCTCTCAATGAGTCAGAGGAAAAAACTAAAATATATCACAACTTGGCAATTGGCGTTTCCCTGAACATTACGCATTTTTTACTTCAGTAAATTTTACTCAAACGCCTGGTAGTATTTTGATTGGCCGCTTGTGCCCAGTGGTACCTCCCTGATACTTTTCTCTCTTCTGATTGGTTACTGTGACTGCGCACAGTGATTGGTGTGATGTCCGACTTTCAAAAACTATGCACGCTTGTCTCTTTTTTCAAGTTTCTTAGTAAATGCGTTTATCTATAAATTTTCCTCTTATTTTCAAATAAAGATAAAAGATGCCACATACATATGGGAAAATTCGATTCGAAGCCAGCGATTAAAAGAAGTTTTGTCGCAACCTTTTTGCAAGTGTTATGTTTTAAACAAGCGGGCGGAAAAAAAATTGTAGGCCCGGGCCTACAGGCTTTTAGGCTGGCTACGCCCCTGTTTGTTACTAGTAACGTGCTTCTCATACTAAGTTACATTTCTCGTCTTGCCTGGCCATTTTGACGTCATACTCGTCTCCAGTGCACCTCACATCAGGGATGTATCCCAGTTGACAGTCACTCTTTGTCAAGTTGGCCTGGCACACTTCCCTAAAGCTGGGTCTAAGGCGACCCACACTTATTTTGGCGAGGTCTGTTATGATTTCATTCAGAAATCCTCCAAACACGAAGATGAAAATGAGTGCAATCGTGCTGATAATAAAAACAAATGCAAAAGAAAAACTCAGGTCTAAATTCTAGCTTGTAAGTAAGACCTTCCACTGAGTGTCGAAAGTGATCTGAGATTGTATTGGTGTTCAGTACTTTATAAACCCTTTCCAAACTTAACATCAGTATGCATATTCTCCATACTTTTCTATTTACAATTCCTAAAGTGATGACAAGAAGAATTTGTTTAACAATCCAGAGCTTCTTTAGTTGGTAATCATTTCCTTTTTTCTCATTACCTTAATGTTTGATCTAAGGGCGATATCGTAACAAATGTATAGAAAACAGTAGGGAGAATATGCATAATGATGTAAGGGAATAAAGGGTTAAGTGTCTAAGATGAGTGTTTCAAGTTCATACTGGACCTTTTACCTGACAATCCAGGGCTTTACGGTGATTGGTCCAAATGATTCTTCTTCTTCTTCCTCGTGTTTCTCGTCTGCTCGTTTCCATTGGTTACAAGACTCGACTATCATAATCTGTGGGCGATGAATGAAAACATTGCATTTTATTTTTTTCATGATCGTTCCGTCAATCTGGCAGAACAAGCGACTCAGCTAATGATGGGTTCCTTTCACTAGTAGAAGAAGAGATCAGTATTTATATATATTGAAGATTAAAGAGTTAACCAAGCGACAGAGGAGTGCACGAGGTATTTCCAAAAGTTCCCCTTCTCCTTTGTCTTTTCTCACTCCTCCCCTTCCTTTTCCACTCATTCCCGGGTTCGCCCTATTTATTTCTCTGCCATATATATCAGGACAACGGGCGAGTTTATTATTGGTTTCTTTTGGATAGGAATATTTTAAGTAAGATCTTAAAGGTAGAATATCTGGGGGATTAGACGAGATCATTGGGTAGAGAATTCCAAACTTTGGGACCTTGGTGATTTTGTCTTTCCTTTTCCAAAATACTTGACCTTCCATTTGTCAACGTTTTTCTGGCCCCATCTCCCACCCCTCCCGCCCTTCCCACCCCTACCACCTCTCCCACCCTTCCCAAATCGGATAATTTGGCGGGAAATGTTCGTTAGTAATTCTTGCATTTTGACCTTTCAAATGCCACAGGTTTCGTTGAAACGTAGCTGTTAATATAGCGTCAGTACTCGATAACAGACCTAGTCAGTCAAATTATTATGGTCAAATGTTAAGTGAAAAAGTGTCTGTCACAATACTGCTTGACGAGGCCCTGAGGTCTTTGTCTTAGAAGATGTTCCGTATATGATGGTGTTATTTGTTTATTCACTCCTTAAATACTTGCGGGAGACCAAATGTCGACTAAAATCAATTAAGCTTTCTTTTAACAAAGAGAACAATAGAATCACTGAGCTGTGGTGCGATGAGTTTTAGCTCTTGGTAGAAACTTCCCAGTAAAGAGATCGACCTCAATCCGACAAGGGAACTAAATCAAGAACCCCAACAGTGAGTTTCTCATCACGTCAACTAAAATGAACATCTTAAATCAGTTGTGGGATTTTCTTAGTGTTACTTATTTACACCTAATGAGATGCCTATAGCATTATTTCGCTTTGTGGTGCAAATCTGTTCATAGTTATTTGAAATTTAGACCACCATTGAACGATACTATGATCTCTTCTTAAAAATTTGAAGCTCAGAACAACAAGAAAATGATCAAAATTGGAACCATTCCTGTGGCAGCAGAACTTCGAATTACTTTAAGTTTAAGGTGCTTGATTTCACATTTCGTATGATGTACTTTGATTTGGTCGAATTGCCCCTAACAAAACAAAAAATAATTTGCATTCCTATCAACCTGAAATGAACTTTCTGGTGAAAAGGCCTCAGTTGTTCGACTTTTAGAAATTATGATCTTGTTCGAGAACTTTTCATCATGCACTGATACTTTTTCTGAGAAGCTCCTGGAGATTTTTGAATAGAGTGAAACGATGGTTTTCCTATTTTTCTGAAGACTTGAAAAGAATGGTTTTTACCAATTTGCATTAGTGGAAAGCTCTCCCAGAATTAATCATGGCTTAAATAACTTTAAATTTATCAATTTCAAAACTTAAGCGTTGAAACTAGGAAGGAAATATTTGATAAATCCGACTGAAATGGCCACAATAGCGCTAATTTGAGGGATATGTTTTATGGATTATCGTAATCAGGACGATTTGTGGAATTGTTAGCACTGCTCAATTTATTCCTTTTAAAGTCTTCAGTTTTATAGTTAAAAAAAGTAAATTCGAGTTTAAAGACGCCATTTCCTGGCCGTCATTGCTTCTGTTTATATGGAAGGAAAGCTTTAGAAAGATACTAACAAAACTCTGCAGTGACTTGAAGGATGTTGCAAAGCGTTTTTAGCTCACAGTCACGAAGCATGGCGAGAGAGATCTTCCCACTGGAGTTCTTTGTTAACAACGCTTTAGTTTTGATTTTCATTCGCTGTGTCATGGTCCAAGAGAAGAAGAGAGAAATATTGCCGGAATTAGACGACTTTCCTTGAGATCAAGCTATAGCGTTCATTGTTATATCTTTGGCAATTAAAACTAGAAATAAAACGCAAAATTTTTGAGCAGGTTTGACTGAGGTCAAAACAAGGAATCATCTTTAATAAACTTTTCTTCTGAACGCTCAAATTTGATTGAACCATTTTTCTGCGTAGCTTTTCTTGCTTTTACTATACTTCTAATAGAATTAAAACTTGATATACTCACCACAACTATGGAAATTATATAGGCTAGGGTACAGAGACCTGCATAGTCCAACCAAGGTTTCTTAAGTGGCAGCTGAATGCTTTTGTCCTCACAGAAGAATCCCTGTTTAATTGGGTAGAGCTTCTCAGTGGTTCCATACAGCAAAGTCTTCGTCACTATATAATCGATTAGGACTAATGTAAAACATAATATATCGAAAGCCAAGTTGATGATTTTGGAGTCACGCGCCATCTTTTGATCGTTGTTGTAGAACGATACGCAATGGTGACTCTTTCGCTGAATTACTCAGACTTTCGCATTTGGATTATCTCCAGGCGAGCAGTATGCAAATAACTGCACCCTTAATGCCTCACTGAGTTTTAAGGGGCTAAGTTTCTAGAGAAAACATGGTGTTGCGTTGATGGGGGTGTTACAAAACAATTCATTTTAATCCCGGCAACCGATTTTTTTTTTGTGCGAATTGGGACCGAAGAGTTTCTATAGCTGAACTTTCAGCTTTAGCCCTTCGTCCGGGCGAAAGACGAAGGGCTCTAACGGAGAGCTAAAGCTCGAACCGTCAGCTATAAACTCTTTCTGCATGGTCAGTTCACATTATCAACTCAGTTGATAAAACCAAATTATGTTGCAGTGAGTATAGCCGTAATCTACAATTAAAGCAAAGTATCTTATGTCTTTTCAGAGCGTTATCGAAGGCAGTTAACAACAGCTTCTTTTTCCAGTGTTGCGATGAATAATCTCGTTAATAGTTAGTGATGGTATTACACAATTCTCAGACCTAAATACGAGAGCCTGTCAAAGCTATCCTTTTGGCTCAGTAACTGGCCATAACAACGAAACAGACCATGAACCAGAAACATTATCTTTTATTTCGAGGCGGGTTAGAAGAAAACTGTCTATCTGAACCCTCTTGAAGGAATTTTCATGAAGTAATCCTTTCATAAGCTCACGAAGACAATAATTTTAATTAAATAAATGTAGATGATCCTGCAAACTGGAGTTCATTTATCAAGTTGGGTGGCCGCTTTGAATTAGTTCACTGAATTGGGTAACGTCAGACAAAAACACACGTCTAGGAACGTTCCAGTGAAAACGTTTAAGCATGCCTGATCATTTGTCTTTATCAGTTCAACAGCTTAGAGTCTCACTTTTTCTAAATTTTATTTCAAATAGCCGATAGGGAGAAAAGCCGAGAAAGACTCAATTGTAACTACATGTCCGAAGCAAGTGACAAACGTATTTTTCCCCTGTCAGAATAAGAGGAATTTACTGAAGCAACCTTCCTTTACAATTAGAACAATTTCACCAGCTTTTCTCAAATAATTAATTTTTTTGTTTCTGTGATTACTTGCTGTAACCTGGAACTTAAAATGAATATGGGGAGTACAAATAAGGATTAAATAACAATTCCGTAGATAATTCAATTAATAGTTTAAATGTGTTTAAACAAAATGTGTTTACCAAGTTAATTTTGATTTTCAGTTATGTTAAAATATGGGCTGCCTTATGAGTGGACCATCTGAGCACCCAATCAGTTACCACAGATTGCAATCCATTGCAGCATTATTGCTTAACAGACCATCTGAGCACCCAATCAGCTACCACAGATTGCAATCCAATGCAGCATTATTGCTTAACAGAAGAATATTTACACTTCTCCATCACTCAAGTCACATCCCCTATAGCTTTCAAAATGCTTGGAAACAAAAGAAAAACTCCCATAACAATAATTTAATATCATTATATAAAATACTTTTCAATCTGTGTAATAATTTCTTACTGCTCATGCACAGTCAATTGAGTTTTAATTTCCAGTATTTCCATTATCAAGAAATCCACATTGTTTAAGACTTTATGATAGAAAATTTAAGAAATTAGAAGTCTCCTCTTTAGCAATTCCTACAAGTTTTGACACTGCTCCTCTCACTTAATATTTTTTCACTCTGCACCAATTTCATACTTTAGTCAATTGATATACTTCTTGCTATACAAAACCTTCAAATATTTATGGAATATGTTCATCAAAAACCTAAAATCTGTCCTTCACAGCTTCTACATTTGTGTACTGGATTTTGCTTGAATATCTAAAGAATTATCAGGCAAAAAATATGATCTTGTTGTAAATTCCCTTCAAACTAGACAGACGCTCCCTAGTGTTTTTTGTACAGAGGGATGTCAATTAAAAAACCCTACTTCTTTAAAAAATGTATTCTCTCATCCAACTCTAAACTTAGAAGTGGTACCTAATTTTGGGTGCAGCATCTGTGTGTATAGAATACAACTGTATGATTTAGGCGTGTGCTTTACATCTGATCCAATCGTTGACATTCAATTTGAAGTTACAGTGGAAATTGACTGTCACCATTCTGGTCTGCTATTTCTTCACTGTTATTCACAGGGTTTCTTAATGCAAAGTCTACTTCCTCATTAGGGTGACACTTGGGGCAGGGGGGAGATGAAAATAGCCTCAGCGGTCGGAATGTCTGGACAAAAAAAAGGAAACAAGGCAAAAAGTGAGTCTTCACAGTCTGCTTATGAACTAAGCAGCCTGCAATTCTAGACCTTGTCCCAATTTCCAAAGCATGACTTGTTTCTGAGGTTCAAATCGCACTCTTCAATCTGACGACTATAAAAAGATTTCCAGATTACCTTCTGGCCCTGGTTGTTCCAAGGATGGATAACGCTATACACTGGATAAATCTCTATCCGGTGGATAGCGCAGTACGTTTTGGTAACACTTATCCGCTGGATAGCGATTTATCCGTTGGATAGCGTTATCCGCCCTCTGAACAACCAGAGCCTGGAAATTAATAAGTAGGGGCTGAAGTAAGAATTTACGCTCAGATGTAGTAACTGGACACTTACTATAAAGAAAGCCACAATGGTACCAAGAAACAGGCCAACCAATACATCTCCCCAATGATGCCAGTAGTCAAATATGCGAGACAGGGAACACAGCAGTCCCAGTGACAGGAGGGCAACTTGCAAAAAGGGCTTCACAGCGTTGGTTTGTTTTGTTGGCATTGATGATTCCAGATATAGCTGTAAACAAAAAAATGATTATTTGATAACAAAATCATAAGCAGAGTTGAAAGTTTTCTTAATATATACTTCAATATGAGACTACCAACTTAAGGTTGAAAAATTATTAGAAAAAAATTTCACCAACCAAATCTAATGCACTTAAGGAAGATTGAAGGTATGTATATTTTTGGAAAACCATTTATGCTTGCAGGGGTTTTTTTTAGAAAAAAACGCATAAAAATAAAGCCTCATTTGTGCGATTATGAGCAACATATTAATGTGGGTGTGACATAAAAATTATTCTAATATAAGTGACACTGCCCATGTTGAGCCTGCAATGTTCTAGGTCTGGGATGAGTGGTAATTGGCTGACCAGTGACAGAAACAAAAGAATACTTACTGCTGAAAACACCATGCAATAAGCTGAAAATGAGGCATGAGCTGAAGGGAAAGACATTCTAAAAGGTAAAACAAATACAAAAAGGGCAATTTTTTAGTAAGAAAAAGTAGGGAGGAAAAGAGAGCGGAAATTGAGCCAAGCTGGTTTATGATCCTGGATGGAGAGAGGTATCATAGGAGAAATGTTCTTTTTTTCAAAAACAGAACACAATGATTCAATTCAGGCTCTAATCAAACCGACGAGTGTCAGATAAAATAATATTTTTGATCAAGGAAAGAGCATTGACTTGTCATAGTTTGCAAAAAAATTTGCCATCACATGACTACATTGTATTAGCAGGGTGACCATTTTTCAATGGACTGTAGCATTCACCTTGCATCCAACACATCTACAGGATCTCCTGTGCATATATTCTCAGTAATAAAGCCCTGACTACAGTTAAGTAGAGTTGCATTGGGTTTGCATATTGCAATGAAGTATGGTCGCAATCTTCCAACTGTCACTTTACCCATGTCAGTGAACAGATTTGTAATAAGTGCACCAAATCCAAACATGAAAAGAAGAAAGAATGTTCTGAAAAATAAACAGAAAAGCAATATATTAAACCTGATAAAGATGCATTGAGTTTCTGCGTACATTACTGGGCTTCACACTAACTTTTCAACTTACTAGCCAAGTGGCTAGGGACATCTTAAATGTCATGACAATTTCAGTTTGTTTACTAGACAAGGATTTACCATACTAACTTTTTAACACAAGATAGTCTTGAGGAGGACAAGCAAGAGCTATAAATCACCTTCTTTGCCATGCTGATGGTGTACACATTAATGGTCCACATTTAATGTTGTACTTGCCAACTTTAAGCTGTTGTTTTCTTCTCTGAGATTTAGCATTCACTGCTTCACATACAATAATCTTTGAAGAAAATATAATTTAAGATAATTATCACTCAGACAATGACCTAAAATGAGACGACAAAGGGTGTTGACTCCATTGTATCTGTCCTTATGTTGTTCAAAGGAGTATCAACACTTCATTGGGTGAGTAATATCTGCATGAAACACCTCTGCATTTCTTCTTCAGGGTTTGGCAGGAAATCAGGGAATGCTTTGACACAGCCTGGAGTTTCAGAGTGACTTTGATTAAATCAAGTGAAGGGTAACGATCCCAAATGAGCCAAAACGGTTCATTTTCAAACGCTTATCTTCCAAGGGTTAAGATATTAACAAAGAAAACCCAGTAATGGCTCCTTGCGGCAAATTAGAAATACAGATTATATTTTCACGCCCCTGCACGATAAGCTGAATACATCAATTGCGCAATTCACTGAATTTTGGTAACATTGACTACAATAAAAGCTTCTCAAAGTATTGAAGATAGGCAATGGTTAAAGAAGTTGTCATCGTTAAACCTAAGGCTGAGCCGGCTTAAATGTAACTGGGTAAAGCGTTCAATGTTTAGTTGTAAAACAAAACAAATAAACGCTCGTGCACAGTGTGGTATTAAGAAATTATGACTGCCCTTCACTTCCTCCGTTGAGGGGAAGATCATGCGAATAGATTCTGAGTAAAAAAACCTTTACAGCTATTTACCTAGCAGTGCGAATAGCCTGTTTAAGTACTTTTGTTTGTATTGACTTTAGTGACTATTTGCTAAGAGATGTTGACAAACGTAGGTCGTGTAAATCCACACTAGCCTGCAAATAAAAATGTAATTGAGTTAATATCAAGTTAAACACTTACCACGGGAATTGACACAGAGAAACCGACTACAATCGTGAGCCAGGTAGAGACAGTTTCTTCTTGTAAAGGTTTCTGAAGGCTTTTATCGTCACAAAAAAATCCTCTGTGAGATGGTTCTATCGGGATGACATGGATCAACATCTCCGCAACACCAAGAGCGACAAGACATACGAAATCCAGGATCAAATGCCACTGAATTTTATGATTTCCCATTTTAAAGGGTTCAAGATACTGCAACTACACGTTCAATGAAACGAAAAGGACAAATTTATCCTGTTACGTGTTATTGAGCTATTTTCGTTTCCGTTCAAGATCCAGTAAGCCCAATGTTTACAATTCATCGAAACAACTCAAATCATGAATATGCAAATCCATCACGATTCATTTAACATTTCAATGAGGGAAGCACTTACTTATATTGCATTGCCGCCACTTTTTAACTCCCTCGTTACTAGCTCTTCGCGGTATACGGTAGATTCGTACTCAGTCTCCCGTAGCTGTCTTTCGTCCTTCTTTTAGTGTAAAGCTCTTAATAAACCGAAGAATCTTACGATTTACACATAACTAAACTGTACTGATAGCCATATTTCATTTACATAAAATTTACCGTTCATAAATCACCGGTTGCAGTCGCTAAGATCTCGTCGGACTCCACAGTCTCCTGAGCGTAAGAGAATCGTTTTCCAGGCTAACCAATGATCTTGTTCTGGTGTTCTCACGTAATCTAAGATAGTACAGTCCAGCTCATTTTACAGCTTCTCGAGTTGTGGAAAGTAGTGGCGGTTTTCTTGAATTGTCCTCGCAAGAAATATTTCTTCCCTCAGGTAATTTGTGGTTATGGAGATTTATCTAACAGCTTCCTGTGTTCCGAACTTTAAATAATTACTGCGTCGGCGTTGAAAACTTCTGTTCATCAAACAAGGTCTTTTCTAAATTTGCTAAGCTACAAGAGTTTCTGTCGATACATAAATATTAACGGTTTACTCTGAATTGTGCAGTGTTGTAGTAAGGGGAAATTTAAGTAACTTAGCTACTGCGTATAATTCAAACTTTCACTATTAAAGGCCCCACAGACAGGAAGTACTTCCAAATAAATTTATCTGTTCAAAAGGGGTCATTTCATATGAACAACTTCTAAGAAAAAAAAGTAGTCAACAAGGGGCTAAAACATTAATTGGGCGATTATTGAGTGATATCTTCTTTTAAGTTTTTAAGTCATATATATATACTGGTAACGCACTTTAGGACCAGGTTTCCCATGTATCCCTAGAGGGGAGGAATTCTAATTTCAGTCCTTTGGCCTCAGTGACAAGTATTTCTTTGAAAGGAAGCACTCATTTCAGTTCTCTTTATTTTTCCTTTTTGCAATCTTATATTTAATTTGACAAATAAAATTTTGAATTAAGTTTGATAGGGTGTTTCTATCTTTTGCCTCCAGAATACCTTTCACAAATTTGCTCCAAAGTGAAAATAGACTACTAAATGAAGAAGCACCACATCCCTCTAACTTGGAATAGCTTTTCTTTATCCTTTATAATTAACTAGTCACAATCTCTAGCTACTTACCCACAATTTTGATTTGTTCCCTGGGTAGTTTACCATTTCAGTCTCAAGATCTGAATAATAATTGTTGTTTACACTGTCTTCTATATATTTCCTATTGTGTTATTGATATAGTATAGAGAAACTGATCTTTTAAGTTTCTCCTGGGGGTGAAAGCTGGTTCAAATATGACTCAGATTTTCTGCATGAAGATTGTCCCTCCTATGATATTTTATGCACAAAATTGAAAAAATGCTCTCTGAGCTGATTTTCTACATCTTTCATCAGATGACAGGGAAACAGCAAGACTGTGAAACTTGTATGCTCTTCAAGTTGAAAAGCATTCTTAATTCCAGGGAAGAAGTGAGCTGAATTAACTTGTTAGTGGTTTTCTTCTATTAAATACCATATGGCAAGCATTGTGCCACACCTTACAAGGATGTAAAGGCTCCTGAAAAAATTGTGAAATGTTTACTCTTTGACTCTTAAGATCTACCTATAAATTATCTGTACTGTCTGCAGTGCATCTCCTTTTAATTCTAGCTTTGAAAATGTGGTATTAAATAGTATCCCCTAGGTGATATTTTCTTTCTTCTATCACCTTACTGCTTGAAAATCTTGTTACTGAAGGAGAAATTCCATTTTGGTCATATTCTGGATGTGGAATGATGAGGGATTTTTGCATGGTTATGAGTATGAGACCTCTATGGTTTTTTTTCTTCTCAACCACATTCGCTATAAGTTATACCTCTGTTAGCTGGGTTTGTAATTATTAACCTTGCCCTCTTTGTTACAAATTCTTGTGACTGTCCAATTCTTCTGCTTTTCAGCATTTGTTTTCCTTTCAATAAATCCATCAACAATCCATTGTTGAAAAGTCCCAGAGCCAATCGTCAGTAAGTGTGATCCCTCTTTAAGAATATTCTTCTCTGTCAGTGCAACGACCCCACTGTCCATCATTAATGTATCTCCAGATCTTGGATTGTGTATTATGGGTTTTAAAGTTTTGGACAAATATCTCTGTATTTCTTTTATTTTCTTGGCGAATGAAATATTCTGTGATGTGAATGTATGCAATGTGTCCGAGCCAAAACGTGTCAAATCTGATGACAAAAAAACTCTCTTGATTTTATACTTTTGCTGAAGCTTTACAACTTTTTCCATCAGCACTTTGATACACCGTGCCAGTCGATCGAATCCATACCAAAGAATTTGCCGTTCAGCTCGGATGTGGATCGAAAGATACTCCTCGTTTATCGAGTCGATGATTTTTTTCGCTAGTGAATTGACAAATTCACTCGATCGCAGGGAGTAAACCAACTTCCGGCTTTCAATATTTACTTCCGGTGTGAAGTGGCATCTGTGTTTACCTAACCCTCGCCAGTGAATAATAGCAATGCATTTGTCACCTTTGAGGATTTTACTTTTGAATAACTGAAGACTTTTTATTCTTTCGGCGTCTACGCAAATCTGCCTTCCCGCTTGAAAGTTACCGATTCTGTTAGAAAAATTAAGACCATTATCTATGAAAGCGCAGTCACACCAGCCGGATTTTTTCAAAGCATTTTCGGTCTTGTGATAAATATCTGAGGATATTCTGTACCAACGTTCCATTTCTTCTTTCGTTCGATCACTGTACATAAAATGCAGCAAAGTTGTGTTTGCAACGCTTGAGCGACATTCCCGTTTGAAAGTCTCTAGTTTAACCATCGGGGCGTAGCGAGATATTTTGAGCAAATTGTTGATAAATGTTACATTAAAATACAGCGACATTGGATGAAATTTTCTGGTCTCCGACCGTCTCTGACCATACCAGCCGTGAGGCAATCCACACATTCTAGAATCGCGCACAAAAGGCTCTACGATCACACGACCAGTTTGCTTCGCCACTGCAGCCAGTTGTAGCAAATTTTCTGTAGTCTTTGTTAGTTGTTCGTAATGATGTAAAACAAAAAGGAACTTGAGATGTTGTTTAGATCCAGAATTAGTAATTGACGGAACACTCGATTTAATATCCCGCGAAATGTTCTTTAAAGTGACACTCTTTACCTTGTTAGATTCCGTCTTTGATAATTCTTTAACGACGTTTCTATTAAGCCGTTTGAGTGGAAGTAATCCGGCCAGTGGTTGAACATTCTTCCGAAAAACGCCAGGTGAATTCGAAGTTTGTTCACGAAGCAGGTGATACATAATGAAAATACTGAAAATAACATAAGTCTTTACACCAAACGAAACAGTGCATCTCGACAAAAATGACCTTCGTCTTCGCACACACAGCCACATTAAAAGACCACAGCTTGAAGAAGAAAGCGTTCACTGCGTGACGAATGAACGTCACAACCGCTTGATCGAGTACAAGTTTCTTTCAGCTCGCTAGGTAGTCACATCTTTTTCTTTCCATTCCTTCAGCGATACTGTGAGCGTCAACAGGCAATATTTTCACTTTGTGTTCACAAGAAGGCGACTGATGGGTTCGGTTTCGCATGCCACGTATCCGCACGGAATATATTTTTTTACTCAAATGGTATTTTCCTGATACTTTTGGGCATTTCGTATGATCGGTCAGGGCTGTTGACAGTTTGATGGAACGAAAACAAATTCTTTTAAATTTATGAAATATCTGCCATCTCCAGCTGCGCCCTTTAACACTTTACTCATGGCTAAAAATGACTTAGGGTGTACTGGGTCAGTATAAGGATGAGATTCGCTTATTAAGACTGTTGAAAGAATATTTCCGTGTAGCTTGTCATCACAGATAACCGCTATTTATAGCCCCTATATTGGTAGATTTATGTCCTTTGAATACCCTTCTATTTTTTACTTGATCAATTGTCAATCGCGTGTTTTCGAATCCGGCAATATTCTAACCGCATTTTCTGTTGAAATAAGCATGCATAACGATTAGGTGAATAAATCAAAGTGGTTGCACTTTCTGTCATCGAAGTTTTATCTGGGCTTTAGTTACTGAGGATGATTTGTCTCCGAGAGAGCTCTAAGTGAAATTCCATAGGGTAAAGGTCTAAATCGGCTTAAAGGTAATTGTACAGACGTGTTTGATGACACGTTCATTTTCTTCAAGGTTATTCGCAACATTTTACTACCCTCTACAGTACTTTACTGCCCCAAATGCGCTGCCACCTCAGTTCCAATTGTTTAAATCAGTTTTACCACTGAAATGATCCAGTTGAACTTTGAAAGTCTGGTATTTTGTCAAAGTTGGATCAAACCATCATTTGATCGTCTGGAAGTTTTCTTTGGGTCACCTCACAGGAAGTCGGAATTTCACCCTTTTTGGGAGGTGACTGATTTGCAGGTGATACAATTATCCGGTGAAATGATCAGTTTGTTAATTACAGTCAACTCTCCATCAACGGACACTCTTGTACAGTCTTTTTCTCCTCCCAGTCAAACTCTATATTTACCGGGGGGGGGGGGAGCATGGGGTCTTTTAGAAACCGCACAACCGTGGAATAATCATCCAAAACCGCAAAAAAATTTGATCAAAACTGAAAACCGCTCCTAAAACCGTCGAAACTGATAAATTTTCACATGCCAGTCATCGAAACCCTAATCGATCCGATGCAGTGGTGACAAGTGGAACATACAGAGGTTTTGAGGCTATTCAAGATCAGTGGAGGCACATAATTGCAGCTCAGAAGGAAGAGAAACCGGAACCCAAATAGGAAAACCTGAAAATCATATCGGATACTAAATCCAAAAATCCGTTAATACTTTTTTACAAAAACCGAAAGCCAAATGTTAAAAAACGGAAAATTCCAAACCGTCATGAACACCAACCGAAAAAAGTTTTTTGGCATTAAAACCGAAAAACCGATCTAAAAAAAGGCCAAAACCGAAAAACCGAAAATTCTAATATCCCACTCAGTTACACATTCCCTTAAGCGGACGCACTTTCCTAAAGCGACACTTACGAAAAAGAAAATGTGATTTTTCTTTAGCCATGATCAAATACAGAGACTTTGTTTAACAATTAAAAGCCCCTTTAGTTGGCCCCCTTCACAGTTGCTCTACGCTTTGTAAGTTAGTAAAGAGAATCGCGATCAGTTTACATCAAGGTTATACCCTCAAGTTGACAAGTTTGTCAATTCTACCTTTCTGTTTGCTAAATATCGTATTGAGATGTGGAAGAGAAATAACATGTTAGTCACATCCCTGTGAACTGACTTAAAGAATTAATGAGTTCCCTTTTCGTTTCATAATTCATATATTTTTTTGGTACATGTATATCCTTCATCTTTGTATTTACTTTGTATCTACATTTCAAGGCAGCCAATATTTCTTACGAAAATTTATCAGTTTCAAATCCGTTCTAGTGACTGAGTTGATGTTTGTTTTTATAGCATTTTTTTCAGTCCTAGAAGATCAAGTGCTTCTTGACAATATTTTTCAATTATTCGAATTCTTTCGACTGGGGAATCTTGCCTCCACTTTTCAATATTAGCGGTAGAGTTTCGAACTGGCGAGAAGATATTGTTTTTTTCCTTCATCAATTCTTCTTTGGTTGGTGAAGTATTGCGAACAACCCAGTCAGCAACGCTATCGGGCATTATAAATTCTGCAAACTCATACATAGCTCTTGTCGTTTCCAGCGGTTTTCCAGCTAGATCATGATAGTGTACTTCTAAGTACTTGTCTTGCCATTTGCCCAGATTTCGGCCAAACTTGATGTTTGTGGCCAAGTTTGAACATATTTTTCTGACTACGTTTGGAAAACTGGAATGCTTCCAGTCTACCATCCATTTTAGCTTAATCCGGGATCTTAAACTCCCTGTGGGATCTCGAATAAGCTGGATAACCCGGATGTCGGTGTCGGGATTCTCTAGGAATAGCTTTGGAAGAAAAGACGAAATTAAACCATTGGGTGTCCTGGGCTCCCCTATTTTGGTTACACTGTGTTTGTATTTTGTTAGGCATACTATGTCGGCGTATGTGGGATTACTAGCAAGATCTCTACATTCCCAGTTAGGGCAAAAGTTTTGAGACCGAAAAGGGTTTTTAACATATGCTCCACTCCATTGCCGTGAGGTGTGCGAGAGGAATTTAACGCCAGCAGCAGTTTCAGAGAACTTACAACTTAAAATTCCTCGTAGAAGATCGAGAACGTTTTTGGTCCAATTCGGTATCTGACTAATGTCTTCTTTGTTCCATTTCTTTGTTATCCATAATGGCTCATAAACGGTCATCAGTTGTGAATCTTCGGCAAACATTTTTGTGGTGAATGTTGTGCCTGAACGGTCGGCTCCATAGATAAGGAGGCTTCGGCGGCGTTCGGGTTGCGTCCTCGATACCAGATCAAGGGACTTTGTTGAGGTCGAAAAAGTCCGTTGTGCCTCGGGTGAAGTTCGGTTTTTTGAACGAAAGGTCGAGGCTTTCCGAACTGCGTGTTACACTGTACGAACCTTGGAAGGAGATCGGTCCTCTTGGTCTTGCTTCGGCTTAACTATGTATGACACGGAGTGAAGGTCGCTAGTAGATCGACCTTTCGATGGTGGCTTTAGGTTGGATTCTGTTTTAATTTCGGATGCCGCTGGTTGAACACGGTGGTTTGGCTGAGCTTCCAAATCTGCCTTTGAATTTGAAACTGTGAAAATCTCCGGTCGTGAACCTCTTTGAACTTCGGATGATGCTGACATGACGTTGGCCCATGTTCTAACTACTTCGGGTGTTTTTCGTTTGTTCGGTATTGTTAAAACAGTAATGAGTCCCGTTATGTTCTGAGTCGGGCTCCTGATTGACTCTACCAACTCTTTACGATAGTTGAAAAGAGATTTGCCATAATGAGAGTTGTATAGTAGAACAGTTGAAGATAGCAGCAGAAGTACTGCGCATGGGAAACAAAATTTCTTACATGTTCGATAGGGGAAGTTTGTCGCTATTGTCTTGTTCGTCATTTCTCCACCGTTCGGTGTATCACAGAAAGAATCCCTGAAATGAGAGTAGACATTGAAAAAATAAAAAAATAAAAAAAAATAAATAAAAAAAAAACAGGAAAAAGCTAAAGAAAACAAATGTCAAGGCGGCTTATTGTTTGAGTTTCATTGTACCCTCAGACAGTCAACAAATAATTTCGCTAAGCAATAATTTCATCAAACTAGCGATCAAATTATTGCGGAATGCTTTATCGCTTTTCGAATATTCTCCACAGTGTTTTCATGTGGGAAGTTGGTTCATCCCGCTGGGGTGAACATTTAAATTATTTGCTGTGAAATTTAATCAGTTAACATTTTTTTCAATCAATTGCTGGTCCAAGGGAAACACGTATGTGCTGTTGTTAACCTAAGCATTTTACGACCTACTGGGCTGAAAATTCATTGAACGTTTTTTAAATAAACCCTTATAACCGATGTTTAATTTTGTAAGCAAAATTAAGGACATGATAACTGCTCTGTCAAGTCAGTGGGGCTATTGAGCTCAGTTTACCGACTGTGAAGTAAGCGAACAACTTTACCTGAATAACGTACTGGACAAATTCTGTTCATAAAGCGTTTAAAAATAAACTTTCGCGAGCGATAGGCTCCAACAGCTCCTGTTCCCACAATTGCATGTTTTCTGGGAAAACGTTTCGCGCGGGAAATTCTCAAGTACGATTCTATTTTCATATTTGACCTGCACTGAGTTACTGTGGCACTAATTAAACTTCGTTAAATGTGTACCTTGCGGAAAGTTTCCTGGAAGCTCGTATGTAAGATGTCTTTCGCAAAAACACGGTTACTCCATCCAAACTAATCTTAATCTCCTGTTAAGAAAAAGCGTACAATTGGATAAATGCCAACACTATTTTCAGAACACCTCGCTACGTTTCCTATGTTTTTTCACTGACACTAAACTGTGGAGTCGGTGCTAAGGAACTAGATCTTCTTGAGAAATATTATTGCCACTGAAAAGAACACTCCAGTTGTGATTGGTTCAGAGTACGTAGATCGTTCAATATTCGTTAATTTGTATTCAACGGCAAACTAGTAGGTTAGACATCTTTTGAGAAATTTTGACGTCTGACAAAGTTCTTATAAGTACTAACCCGAAACGATAAGAGAAGCCCAGCTAAAGATCCAATAGGAGTTTTTCGTTTGAGAATAAACAATCTTAACATGTATTCTCAAATCTATAGAACTAGATAACCTCAAATTTTCTTTTCTTTTTTTTTTCTTTTTTTTTTTTTTTTTTCATGTTTTTAATGCCAAACACTCTCATAGGGGAGGGTTGCTCAAGGCTGTGCTCTAGCGGCGATCGGTCGCCTCAGGCAAGTAACATTTGGTCCCGGGTGACTGAAAAAATATTCCGGTCGCCCAGCCAGGCACTCGGCCTCTTGTGCAGCATTCGCCTCTATGGTAAATCTGGCGATTGGCAGCTACATTTTTATTTGGTTGATTTATAAGCGTTACTGGCAGAAAAAATATTCTTTTGCGCGACACGTAATCGAATTGTTCACGTTCGAAGATTTCGAAGTAACTATCACGTTTCGTTCTACATGATTTCGAACGAACCCAAATAGTAATTATTGAAACAAGAGTTCTTGTCACTTCACGCGTGATAAACCGCACGGATATTCCAAAAATATGCGTTGAACACCGCGATTTTCCTTTAGATGATCAATGTCTGATTTCAGTGTTTCCATGGATTTGTAATGTGTAGGGCGTTTATCTTTCTTTCAAACCAAGATTCTTTCTATGTGCAAATTGCCGGCAAGCCAGCTTTGTTTGTAGGTTTATCAATCGTTGTGATAAGCGACTTGCAATTACTTTAGGAAGATTTAGCGAGAACTAAGCTTATAAGGATTTCATATTTAGACTTGTTTACTTGGTGCTTGCGAAGGAAAAGTTCTAAGTGGTTTTAAAATATCCAAAGAAACACAATTGCCATTTTGAAAAATAGCACAAGCTCACCGCTAAAAATAGCAACACACTCTGTCGCGTAGTGTGGAAGTTTTAATTTTCAGAAAGAGATTTAAAATGTAGCCATTCCACAATCCCACAGCTTTGCTGCAAGTGTTAGGAAAAAATAAAAACGTTTCACTTTCAAAGCGCCTCGATTTAGTACAGATTACCTTTCCTGATGGTTCCCATGACCAGACTAGCACTCTCGTTTTAATTGTACCGGTAGATATAACTCTCAAAAAAGAAACAATAACTTTGAATTTAAATTTACAAGACATGGGTTGGTTTTCATCTGGATGTGAAGAAAATTATTTTCTTGCTACTGAAAAATTGTTTTCCATCTTGGGTCATAGACAAGATCATTTACAGGTATCTAGCGAAGAAAAATAATCCGGCTTCTCCTACTGGGCATAACGCCTCTTCTAACTCCGGTAAACCTTCTGCGCACTATTATAAACTTCCCTATGTTGGTCGGTTTTCGAACATCGCTCAGACTAAGTTAAGACAACTACTCAAACGTTATTGTAGAGCTGATTTAGATGTTAAGTTAGTCTTCAGTACGTTNTCTCCGAAACATAACTGACCAAAATACACCACCAAAACGGTAACGAGGTGTTACAGACACAACCATTCCCAAAATACGGCTCAACATTTGCATCACTTGCTATCGAGCTGACGCATATATTCATGTCTTAATGCGCACGTATCCGTCACGTTAATTCGGGTGTCTCTGAAATTTCCCATAAATTTCCCATGGTTGGTGTAAATTTCAAGCTCGTACACGGGTACTGTAGGAGAAACACTTAAATCAATGAGGAAGAATACTGCAGTACGCAGTTGATTGATCACTGGAAATGGGTTGATTAACCGGAGTGGTTGGAAGGGACGTTGAGGAATTGGACTTTTGTAGGGCCGCTGCAAGTGGCAGATCTTCTTCACTGGGCGTCATCATCTGAATCCGCAAATACATCTGATGTTTCGTCGGTTTTGGAGCAGTAGGTGGAAGAGGAGACCCATGAATACCTACAACTAATGGCCATATGACCCATTTCTTTACATAGACAGCAGAGCGGAGGAATCAGACAGTTTGGAGATTCATGGCCGTTTGTTTCACAATTGAAGCAGATTTTTGTTTGGCATGTGTTACTGAAATGTCCAGGTTGACTGCACTTACGGCAGTGAGGTTGTTATTCAGAATGTTTGAGAAAACTTTGGTATTTACCGAACCGAAGAAAACTAGGACTAGGTCTGGAAGTACGTACTCTATAATGTCGAAGGCCACTGTAAATATTGAAGTTGTGATCTTTGCAGTGGCGGTAATTAATAACTTCGCAGAAAGGTGTGAGGCGTTGAATAATTGCCAGGTCAGAAAGTTTGAGAAAGGTGAGAGATCTATCGATGTCTTGAAGTGCACAATTTAGATGAAGGAATTTTTCTTTCGCTTTAGGATTTTTAAAAGTAATCACTACTTCATCGTTCAATTTTCGTTGAAGGCACTGTGTGTCACTATCTTGAATTCCGGCTTCTTTCAGTGCGTTGAACACCGACCAGGTCGAAGTTCTCGGGTCCGGCGCGAAGAAAGCAGACCTCGGCCGTTGTGGCATTGAGTTCTCTCCTGAGATGG